ATCCTTGGTTATAATACTGTGGCATAAAATGCTTTGGGTTTTCTCAAGTATTTTAGAGATAAAGTTACTGTGTGAACATTGGACTGTGCATAACCTAGAATGTGTTAGGACACATAATATTTGTGTCCCAGTTGATGAAAGTATTTCCTTAAGCTTATTCAATACTAGATACCTGTCATGAAACTGTCCCTAAAGAATCTGCTAGAATGACAGAAGAGTCAAGTCCTCATCTGTGCTATGAAATGATCAACCACAAGAGCTCTGCTGTGATTTCAGAATCTTCCCCCATCTTCCAGTTTCAGCTCACAAAAGTATTTCCAACCCTGCATAGTTGGCTATCTGCATGTATGCTTACAGTCTGTACAGAAATGCACTAAAATGAGTTGCCCTACCTGGGAAGGCTTTATATTGTATAGAAAATGTGGCACTAGGTACTGCTCTTCATGTGCACAGGAGAGTTAACAGGTGTCAGTCTCGTTTACAGAAATGATGGCGCTTTGCAATTTTCTATAATATATTGCAATATATTTAAATGTCCTGTTTGACATGTGAAATGAAATTAAGTTAATGCATTGTTATGTATTTGAAGTATGAGGAAGATGATTCACTAACGACCAGCAAGGTTTTTAGAAAGGTGTCCAGTATGTAGCTGTCTGTGTGATCTGTCTGGTGTATGTGATATTAAAGGAAGCAACAATACTGTCACTGTTTAGAATGAAGAGTTTCTTTTGAATGATGCAATAGCTTACAATGTCTTTCCTTTGTAGCTGCCCAGTGTGGTGAAGGGGAAGCAATTCTTGAAAAATTTCAAGATAACTGGTTAACTGTGAATGGGCCTAATCTTTCGTGAAACCAAGAAAATTTTTGGACACACACAGGACTTGAATACTCAAAAGGATTGGAACTTAGTGTTGTGCCAAAGTTAAACTACTGCAGTTGGCAGTTCTGCACTGTAAATAGAAGACTGATTAAAAGACAGCTTTTAAAAAAAATATCAAATTTTAATACAGTACGTTTTTATTCTGATACATGATGGAAACATTCTGTTTTAAACCTTTTTTGAAGAGGCTTCAGTGACCACTAGATTTTGTCCTCTTATATTTTGTTTGGCCTAATACTATATGTTTTAGTAAGATGGGCTTTATTGCCTGTGTTCTTTGATATGTGATTAAGCTTATAGCTTTGAGTGACCAAACATTTTACAGAGTAAAAGTTCTTAGAAACAGTATAATGTAACTGATATTTCTGTGTCTTATTTATCAGGCTGTGCACAAACTTGGAAAGTTGTGCTGGACTTGTACAACTCGTATATGGGAACGCAGCATACTTCTGGATATTACAAACCTAAGCCTTTGCGGCTGTATGGATCTTGTCTTTGGATTTATTTTTGTTATTTTTTTGAGGCAAAGAAACGAATGGATGCTGCTGTAAAATATTTGTAATATTGCCATTATTTCTTTCTGTAGCAATTACTGCTTTTGCTTCAACAGATAAAGAAAATAAATCAGAGATAGAAAAATCCTAAAGACGCTGGTAGAAGAAAGAATCATGTGAGAACTTCTGAAAATAAACTTTGTACCAAAAATTTGAAAACATAAATAATGGAATAAATGTCTCCTTACTGAGTGTGTGTGGGTTTAAGAGGTGGTGTGGAAACCAGGAATCGTGTCTGTATGAAAATGTCACAAACCAGACCTTCTCAAATATCATTTTCCCTGTTACACAAAACGGAATTTCATCAATTCCTCAGATGCACTGAATTTGGAGAACTGCCTTGGCTGGCCAGCCAGTGTGAGGTCAGCTTCACGTGTGAGTCAGTACAGCTGCTCGTTGCTGAGCTGTTCTGCCGTGTCAGCCGCCCAGGGACGTTCCCGGGATTTTTCTCATTCGGGCAGATGCTTTTTATTATGGCATTTAAATATTCAGGGTGGGAAGAGTAGGGGTGAGTAAGAACCGTCTCCTTACTGAAGTCCCTGTCAGTTGGACAGGCTGCTGTAACATGTGTCTTTTCCTGAGAGAGAGGGGTCTGAGGAAGGAGCTGCTGTTGAGCTCTGCCCTGGTCCCGGGAGCCCAAGGTGCTGTCACTCACAGCCGCTCCCTGCCGGAGGCAGTGCCACTGTCTGGTGTGACACCCGTCTATTCCAGCTGTTGAGCTGCAGCTGGAGGAACTCGAGCCTGGGATTTTCCTGCAGGACCTGGCACTGTACTTACACATGTACCCCCAGCAAAACAAACAAAAAAAAAAACAACAACAAACAAACAAAAAAGTTTAAAGCAAGAAAGTCGTTCCTGTGCTGTAGTTAATGCTAGTCTGAAAAATGACATCTCCAGCTGAAGTAGTGACCTAAGCACAGGACCAGAGATGAGCATGAGTTGTCACCACAGCTTGGTGTTTAGCCGAATAGTTTTACTTGGTTGGGTAAACATAATGCTTTTTCAAGAATCCGTCAGCTAAAGAGGGAGTTAGAAGCACCAGATTATGCATGCAGTAATCTTTGTCTAAAGGTATCTTTTTTGTTTACAGTGTTATCAGCAATTCCAGAATGCTGCAATTCAGTAGATACTTTCACAAGAGATCAGCTGGCCTTGTGAGTTGTTTCCCCTTTCCAAGCCCCTTCCCAGCATCTTTCAGCTTGCATTTGTTTTCACAACAATATTATCAACTACTACTTTTGCAAATTTAAAATACCAAGCCACTTTGTGTACTGCCTTTTTTCTTTTGAATGCCAGAAAGTCCTCTCTATAAATTGTTCCCTGTGGACTTGGTGTTGCTTTGAAATACTGCTGTTGGAGGTCCCTAGTCTCAAAGAGGTGGTGGTTTCTACCATTTTTGGTGGTTAAATGACTTGTTGCACTTCAAATACTCTAAAGTGAAATATTTGAATATATGTTTCTACTGCTGTTATTGGAACTATTAGCATTGTGACTAATTTCTCCCCCATGTGTGCTTCTTTACAGGTTCAGTGCTGAGCTGATCTTCATTACCTTAAAATATTTAGTAGAAGAAAGAAAAGATGGAAAAAGGGAATGAAAGTATGTGTCACACCTAGTTGATTTGTGTCTTTGGGTGAAAATAAAGGTCAGTGCTGGCAGTAATTCTGCTTTTAGTAATCTTCAGTTTTCCTAAATGAGAGCCAAAGAGGAAAAGCCATAACTTCAGCAAAGCCTGTCCTAAGGGACTAACAAGGAAGAGAGCCCACAAAATAGCCTGTAATAATGACGTGTTCTGAACCAGAGATGGTACAAATAGTATTGCAGTTGTAACTGCTCTCAGTTCTGGAGTTTCCAGCAGCTGGCCAAAGCCTCCAGATGAAGTCCAGTTGCAAGAATTTCTGTGCAATTTCTGGGAACCCACAACATGCAGAACTGGAGCCCCACAGATGTGCTGTTATGGAAGGGGTTCATCATTTTTCCTGGAGATACTACAAAGTGAAAATCTGCATCACTGATGTATGTTTTAGGTTTTCTTTGCTCTAAATGCATTTCACGTGCAATTATTGGGGGAGGGGAGCAACTGTGGGCAAAGTCCATCCTGGATTTCTGCATTTTGTTTGCATGTGTTCATTGAGCAGTGCTTTCCCTCTGCTGTGACTCACTTTCTTCAGGCACTGCTACTTGTATAAGGCAATAAGAAGACATAGAAGGTAAATTTAATAGCAGTTTCCACTAGTCCTCTCCAGCAGTGCAAAAGCTCTATGGGAAACAAGGCACTGCAGAATCAACAGTTTGGTTGTTTCCCATGTGGAGGCAGCCTCCATATGGAAAAACAGAGCAAGGCCTGAAAAAACCTGTGAGTTGTGAGGGTCACTGAAGGGAAGGCCTGAAGCCCTGGGTGTATTTCTTCAGTATACCTTTTTTTTTTCCTATTTTTTTTTAAATTTTTTTTCTCTTTGTTCTTGCTAGACAGCAATATTGTAGTAAGTCAGCTCCATTTATTCAGTGCTGTTACAAAAAAGGTCTTAAATGGTGTCCTAGAGGAGTTGCCACCAGCGTTGCTTGGTCCTGCCCAGTCCTGAAAACTGCAGTAGGAAAGTTTTAACCTAGAGAAGTAACAAATCCACTGTGGTCTCTGTGGCCTGGTTTCATCACAAGTAACAATTAAGCAACAAGCGTAACAGTGGCCAGGGCAAGTTAATGAGTTCTCAGAAAAACTGATAAAAATTAAAAAAGGGTGTAGGAGGAGGCATATGAACCTCACCATGCCCAGCCTGGGACTCTGCTGGCTGTTTTTGCAGTTAGAGCAGTAGACTGGCCATGTCACCCTTTGCCATGACTTCTGTATTCACAGACCATCAAGGTACAACCTCAGTGCTTGTACTGCATGGCTGAGTGGAGCAGTTCAGGCACAAGATCACTACTGGAAATGTGTGAGCTTGCCTGGGAAGTTCACTGCTTTAGGATTCTTTCTAGCACTTGATCACTTTCTTCCTTCTGTCTTTCCAGAAAGCTTTTTTGCTCTTTACTTTTCAACAGCTTTCTGGTCAAACCCAAGGGCGTACTCATTCTGCTCATCATTTATCCTGCTCGACAGAAAATAATTGCAAAACCCATTAATAGCTGAACACATCTGTGTGCAGTGCACCCTTTTGGCAATAACAACTTTATTGGGTTTTGTGAGACCTGAGGGAGAGGGATTATGGCCTAGTTAATATGTCTTGCCAGGGGCTTGAAAGATTGCACTGTCTTAAGGTAGAGCAGGCAAATGAACCTTCTTTTGGGGGATGCATCTTCTCCTGTCTGTCCTAAGAACCTCTAAGAAGCTTTTGACTTCTATTAACAATGAACAGTTCACACTCTTTGATTTCCACAACGCACCCCTCACCTCCCCACTAGTTTGTTGTGTCAAACTAGAACTAGAACTTACTTTCATCATTGTAAGTTATGCTAGAGTTCATCTGAGCTCATCAGAGCTTTTTTTGTTTGCAGTTCATAGTAGTGATAACCTCTGTCTGCCCCAAACCATGAAACGTTATTTGTATTACCCTCCCAGTAGTCATGGACAATATCCCCTTATGTGTGACATCATGCAAGGAAGATGAAAGATGGCTTCTGCTGTAAAGATCTTTTAATCTAAATAAAAGGTAAGAGACGAGGACACAGTGAGACAAATGTCAGCAAATAAAGAGCTGCTCTTCTCCTTTCATGAGTGTGTTTAGGGAAGAGCATATGTTAGGGCTATCCAACAAGAAAACTAATCCTCCTCAAGGTGTGAATATTTCACAATGTCTGTAAGAATCCCCTTAATTCAGGAGCCACCCTTTGAGGAATGCTGCCTGTGGGTCTTGGCCTCTTCATTACAGGCAGCTCTTTGGCTTTGAGGAGAAAACTCCTCTCTTCTGCTTTTTTCCAAAGGCAGCTTCTTTCCAGTATACTTTAATAAGGCTATGTGAGCTGCATTATTCCTAGCCAGTGTGTGGGTAGTGCCTACTAGGTAGGGTCCTAGTTGCAGACTGAGGTTTCTTGTTTCTGCTGTGTGTGCTCCATGGTCTCTGAAGCTTTTGTGGTGTGTCTGTGCTGGCATAAGACCCATGTGGCTAGGACCCATGGAGGCTATCACAATACAAATAACATCAGTAATTAAAGAAACACTGGAGGAGGATTCTTCTGAATTAATTTTGCCTCAGAGTAGACAAGGAAATGGGGAGAACAAGGGTGTTAGACAAACTCTGTCTTCCTTGCTTTGTTTTCTTTTCCTGGCCAGAAGACCCAGGCAATAGGACAGCATGGAAGAACCCTGCCTGTTGCTGGAGTTGTGTTCACAGCCTGGGCTGTCTCTGGGCACCCTGACTGCAGATGGAGCACACTGGCCAGCCCAGTGTGCCCCATTCACCCGGGGTGAAGCTGGGTCACAGCCCCTCAGCACTGGCACGCTGTGTGAGCAGCCACAATGGCTTTGCTGATGCACAGAACTCGCCTGGAGGCCACAGCTTACTGGAGCCCACTTTCATTGGTGCAGTGTTCATGTGCTGAGCTGGTGGCCTGCAGTGGAGTAAGACCTTGGCTGCCTTCAGGGAGAGATTCATCTATAGCTTCTTTTTATCCCTGAAGCTGCCTACACAGAGCAGCTGCAGCAGCACAGGTTCTTGTAGGGCTCATATATCTGAGCTCCCTCAAAGCTGCCTCTTCCACGGATGTTTTCTCCTCTGTGAAGCTAGGGCTAACAGCATCAAGGCAAATCATGCCATGCAAACTCGGGCAAACAGCTTTACTTAAGTACGGTGAGAATTTGTATTCTGGCAGCTACACGGATGGCTTGGAACTTGGGGAGAAATTGAGCGAACCTCCAGTGCTGACAAGGCAGAGGGATTTCTTAAGTTGCATTTTTTCATTTCTGTAACTAATATATGAGGAGCTTTTTAAATGTCTTGAGGGGAGGCAGGGGCAAGGAAGAGTCAGGGAAAGAAGAAATGAAGAAGAGAGGCAATTCTTTGCCCATGACTTACTGAAACCACAAGTCAGCTGCTAGGCCCCCTGTGTGGCACTGGGAATCGTGGCTCTCCTATCACTGATTTACCAGACAAAGGCATTCTCTGCATTGCAACACAAAGCCTTTTGTAGACCACGTTGGTATCCTCAGAAGAAAGGATGGTCAAAACCCCCAGCCCTGGAGGACTCTGCAATCCAAGCTGGCAGCCAAGCAGCTGCTGTGGGATTTGCCCCTGGGAATGCCTTGCTTTTTGTGTTTTCCTTTGAGCTGTGGCCATTTCACTTTGATTACTCATGTTCCTTTTTTTGGATTTTCTTCTTTTTGATTTGTGCTTATTTGTCTTTCTGGATTTTCGTGCCTTGTTCATCAGACCGGTGTGTTGCAGCATGACCTGCAGTCCTGGAGCAGAGGGAAAGGGAACGTGTGTGTCCAGTGCATGTGAGGAGCACTACAGGTGCTGAAACTGTTCACACACTTGTGCCAACCTCCCCAGTCTGACCCCCATGTGCTTTGCCTGCCTCTCTGCAGGCAGGAGGAAGCCTGATGGTTTTGATGTGCATATACAAGTGACTGTCCTCACCTACCTTGATACTTTTAACAGAAAGACTGAAGCGTGTCAAGTAAACTCCTGATTCTCTCAAGACTTAATTGCTGAACAGTTTTCTCTGTGCTGGAGGGCTTGTTTGCCAAATAGCAAGTTTACAAGCAAAATAAACATTAATCTGCCTTTATTTTTCTGATCAAATCCAACTACCAAAGTTGAGTTTCTACCCTGACATTTATGCTAGGTCATTCTGCATTCAGTCACAGCTCTGCTGGTATGGAAGAGTATTTTAAGAACATAAAGAGAAAAAACCCTAACAAAAGCAAACCACACATTTTACATGTCCTCTAGAAGGAAACCTTTAAAATCATCTATACAAGCACTGCTTTGGCCTCAGAAGGTGTTTTGGTATAGACAAATTCATTGGCACATTTTGCAGGCTAAGGAAGTACTTTTCAGCTCACCTTCTCCAAACCTGAGTGGTGATTAGATGGGATAAAATGGACCTTCCTGGATAGATGGACTGGAGAGAGGAAACAACACAGCACAGCAGCACCCCTAAAACACAGTGCACTGTGCACAGCAGCACCAGAGGCAGGGCAGGCAGCCGGGGCCTGAAGAGCTCTCAGTGAACAGCCGGTGCCTGGGTCTCGGCATCCTGAAGGAGGTCTGGGATCGGTGTTCGCCTTGCTGTGTCCCCGACTTCCGTAGCACAGTGTAGGGTCTTCTGGGAAAGCCTGTCGTGGAAAGCCTGAAATTTCACGGAATCACAGAATTTTTAAGGTTGGAAGAGACCTCTGGAGGTCATCTAGTCCAACCCCCTGCCAAGGCAGGGTCACCTAGAGCAGGTTCACATCTTCTGCTTCGAGACAGAAGTGAAACTAAATGGAAAAGCTACCAAAACACATTCCCACTCATCCTATGCACGGCCACCATGACGAGAAGCTAAAGGAGCATCTCCACAACCACGCAGTTAATTTACCAAGGCGCGGGACTCTAGTCCAGCTCCTTACTGGAAGCACTTCCTTCCCTTCGCAGAGCGGTGAGCGAGCTCCTCCCCCTTCACTGAGCGGGGCCGGCGGCGGCGGCGGCGATGGAGCCGGCGCTGGGCGCGGAGTTCGAGGATTCCCTGTTCGCGCCGAGCCGGGAGCGGCGGGAGGGCGGCGGGGACGGGGCTGCGAGCGGCGCCAGGCACTGCGAGCCCCGCGTGAGGAGTCGGGCGGCGGGAGGGCGGGCCGTGACTGCTCTGTGTGTGTGTGCTCTGTGTGTGCTCTGTGTGTGCTCTGTGTGTGCTCTGTGAGCCCGGAGCGGTTCCGTGGCCCGTCATACTCTGTGTGCCCGCAGTGGTTCCACAGCGCGGCTGACGCGGGGGAAGGAGCCGAAGGGATCACGAGCAGCAAGTTCCGGGCGGACTGGGCGTTCCGGCAGCGGGACTTCGAGGTATTTGCAGGACGCTCGCAGGGGCCGGGGAGGCTGTGGGGACACGGAGTGGGGCGGTCCCGCAGTGCCCGATGTGCAGCGCCAGGGTGAAGGTACATCAAGTACCGCGGCCTGCGGGTCTGGCGGCCGTGCCGCGGTTAATCCCGCTCCTGGTTCGTGCTGAACGGGCAGGGCCGGGCCGCGGAGCAGATCCGTGTTCTGCACGACCCATCCGGGAGTCAGCCTGCAGCGAGCCGGGCAGGAACGCGGCGCTGCCCCGGAACTGATCGCAGGCAGGCGGGCGCATGGCAGCAGCTCCGCCGCGGGCAGAGCGGCTGGCTGAGGGTGCCTGAGGGTGCCTGAGGGTGTCTGTGGGTGGCTGAGGGTGGCTGAGGGTGCCTGAGCGTGGCTGAGGGTGGCTGAGGCCGGGCAAGCCGTGGTCGGAGTCAGGCGGGTGGGTGCCTCAGCGCCCGGCGATAATGCCGTGCCCCTCGCAGGCTGTCAGGTCGCTGGCGGCGGCTCACCTTTCTCAGCGCTGTCAGAGGAAAGCTGCAGTGGCCCTCAGGCTCCTGCGGGTCGCGGAGCTGCCTCTGCATGCCTTGTGCCGGGTCCCTGCCGCCTCCGCTGGCCCCGGGGCCCGGCTGTACCTCGGCCCGTGTCTGCTCCTGCCCGCAGTGCTCCCAGACCTCTGCGTGTGCGTCCTGAGCCGCTTTCCTCACCAGCGATGCTGTCCTGCCTTCTGCAGTGCTAGTTGCAGGATCTGGTCTTTCGTTACCTTGTTTCCTTGTTGAAAGCAGCATCTCCTGGCCTTGTTTCAGGTGTTGTTTCTTCTTGCAGCCTGTGGTTTGCATTACAGGCTCTCTGATTTCAAAGCCCTCCAGCTGACTTCTGACTCAGCTCCTTCGGCCTCACCCACTGGATTTGTAGATCTTTTTGTACCTCGGCTGGCACTGATCCTAATGTTATTTCAGCACTACTGCAGCCCTGTGTATACCTGACAGATATTTTCTAGTCTCAGCTGAGATGCCCTAAAGGGATTCATAAAAGGGTGCTGATGGCAGAGCTGCCTCAGGCTGTGGTCAGACTAGCTGCTAAACAGAACAGACCATTGCTTCCCAACTCTTTTCTGCAGTGATTCATGTTAGAAATGTTGTCAGTTTTACTGCTAACCTAGATCACTGCTGGAACAAGAACCAGAGCTTGATTGCACATAAAATTACTGATTTGGAAGCATTGGTCTCAGAAAGGGGGCTGGAAATATGTAAATAGGGATAGTAATCTCTTCTCTCATCATCAGTTTTTTACTTCAGGATAGGAGATGTCAAGGAGAGCAGTGATCTGAGCTGTGCCGTTTTTAGGATATAGATGACTGTAGAATCTGCTTGGGATTCATAATGCCTGAACCCTTGCCTTGTCACATAACAAGGCAAGCAGGGCTGTCCTCAGCCCTGTGATCCATTTTCACCAGTGGGCAGGGGGGAGCTCCCTCTTTTGCTTAAGAACGAATGTGAGCTCAGCATCAGGAAAGAAAAATGCTAGGAAGTATTTAGGGTATTTAGAAGCTCTTTCTGTTAGAACCATTAAAGTTTGCAAGGAATAATTAAATACTCATTTTGAGAGATGGGAGAATGAGCACTGCTCTTTAGTCTTCTCTCTAAGCACTTACACAAAGGGAGAGAAATCAAGATTCCAGACTTAGCTTCACTGAATACTTAATTTAATGTATTTAAATGTTAATTGGAGTCCTGGTGAGTGCCCTGAGCATTAAGCTGCAGAAGTATTGCTCATTCTTGCCTTTTTCTTAGCCCAATTAATATTTATTTCAAGTACATTAAAACCAGCCAACAGGAACAATGGAGATTCACCTTCCTTGTGGTATTCTCTGACTTACTGATTATTTGAGGTGAGGTACTTGCAGGTTCACACCTTCCCATGGAGATTGTCATGGTTTTGAAAGAAGGTCCCACAGATTTAGGATGAGCTGTCAGATCACTGAGCTGGGGGGAAAGATGCCTTGTGTCACTTATTACCCAGGTCACTAGATGATCCCTTCTGGATCAAGCGTGGTGGGAGAGAGGTGGGCACTTGTGTGGTGAATCCTGCTTGGGCCTGAGCACAGTCAGGACTGAGGCTGCTCATCACCATCCAGGCTTGGCTGCCTGGTGCTGGGGCTGCTCTCTTGCTCACACAGGTGGTAGCTGAGTCTGGAGAAATGCAAATGTGGACTTCAGGTTCTGAATTCCCTTTGTGACTGTAGTCCTAAAGGAAATGTGCTGTCAGGCTTGCTTTTAAATGCAAATCTCTCCCTGTTTTGTTGGCTTTTCTTCCTGTCACACTCCTAGAAAGCCCTGTGTGAATACTCAGACTGCCTGCTGCTCTTACCTGCCAGCAACATTGCAATGAGGCGTGATGTCCAGGAGGGCCAGGCTCGGTGTTTATCTCGCCTGGGAAGGCACAAGGAGGCTCTGGATATTGCAGAAAAAATGGTAAATAGTGCAGTCTTTCTTTTAGGCTTTGAACATAAAAACATTGCCACTAGTTCTTTTATACGGACCATTTTCTGGAAAAATAATTTTCATGTGTATAATCCTTCAGGATGTTCAGTGCTCAGAGTATTTGGTAAACAGAGGGTAACTGTCACTGCAGATATAATCACTCTTTAGAAACTGGAACACCCTGTACCACAATGAGCTCCCTGTGCAGGGAAACTGGTAGTCCTGGAAGGGACTAAATATCATGCTCTGCCAGGCAGAATTAATGCAATGTAATAGGAATTATAAAAAAGGGAATAAATGAGTGCTTAAATCTTTCCACTATACAAGTGACAGTCCAAAACTCCCTTTCATTTCCATATACTTGCTGCCAAACTGCCACCAAGAAGAGTATCTAACCACAAATTGAGTTTTTCCCATAAAGGAAAAAGTCCAGAGGCTCTGAAGTCTGCTAGAATGTTATTGATGATTTTTATTTTATATAAAAGGTATTTATGCTGCAAAGAAAGGCAGCTGTAGAACACTCTGAAGGTATATGAACAAATGACAACATTTAGGACCTTCTTGCCTCTCAGACTGGGACAAGGCACCTAGAGGGAATGCTGTCAGCTTGATTGTGCAAGATCTGTATCCCGCTGTATCATTTTAAATTAAAAGCACCATTTTGTACAGTTTAAAAATTACCTTGTGATATTTGTATGTCATTATTTAGGAAGACATTTTCTTAGCCTCTGAAACATAATTCTGTTCTACTCCTGTTTTTAATCTCTTATCTTTTGTTTCTAGAGAAACAGCGCCACTAACACAGATCACTTAACGACGGTTCTCAACCTGCAGTTTTCCATTTACCAGGGTCTGGAAAATGTAGAAAAAAAGATGATGTGTCTGCAGCAACTGATCTGCTTACATCCTTTCAATCCCTCGTTCTGGAAGTTGCTTGCTGAAGCTTATATGAGCCTTCTACAGAATTTGTCTCCACTGGTCATTCCAGAAGCAAATCTAAATCAGTCTGAAGAGGTTTGTGTAAGCAATAGCAGTTTCAAAACATCAACTGGCAGAGAGATTAATCTGCAGCCTCACAGATCAGAGGGCCAGAAGGAAGGCTCTTGGTTCAGCCTTGCTGCAGAAACAAAGAGGGAGGATGCAGTGACTTGTCCCAGCAGCCAAGTAGTGAAAGAATTCCTCTGCACTTCAGGAGAACTGGAACGGACAGACAAGGAGAAATGTGCAGTCTCCAAGGCCTGGAAGCAGAACAAGTTAAAGAAAGTTGGGATAAAAGCATGTGCCTCGTTTATTAGAGCAAGGTAACTCGATGTATTCTTAGAATAATGTTAAGTTCTCTCAGTCAAGAACAATGTAAAGCATATTTTTCCCAGTTTTTGTTTTCAGTTTGCATTTTCAATCTAAGTGTTTGTTTCAGAGCTGGCAACCCTAACTTAGAAGCACCATCCTGTTGCTTCAGATCTAAAAAGCAAAATCTGCTAAGTGTAGTGGCTGTGAAGAGTCTGAATCTGAGTGGAAAGAGTAAACCAATGTCATGCATAGCTGAGAAGTAAAGAGTTTTTTAATGAGCTTATAAATCTTTTCAAGTAATTATATACAAAAGGGTCTGTTCAACAAATGCTCCTGCTAGACCATTGCTGTTCCCTGGTCTGGTATTAAAGATGCAGTAGCAGAAGTGCCCAAAGGGAAGGCATAGCCAGTCTTCCTTCTGCGAGTGCCACCTGTCTTACTTGCTTGGAGCCTCATGCTTGAGTGAAAATGTATTTTATAATGATACCCCAATCTGCATAATGGATGAGGCTGGCAAATGAACTCTGTGACAACTGATTGACAGGGCTGCATTAAAATGTTCTTTCCTTTTCTTTTCCCTCTTCCTAAAACTCTTGCGTACAGCAAAAATCCCCAAAACATAATCTTTCAAAGAGATAATTAGGAACTGGTTTTGTTAAATTAATCTTGGATGGTTTTTCCCCCTCTTGCCTCACAGTAATGTATCAGTCCTTGAATGTTTTTAAAGGCATCTTATGAATGTCCAGAAATGTTTACAGAGAACACTTTATAACTGCCCTGCTGGAGCAAGATTTAAGAAATGAAAAAAGCCCAAATATTAGCTTTTAACTGTACTCCAGACTAAGAGATGAAGACTTTAATTGCTGCTTGGAAGAAGTTCATTGATTTAGTACTGATATTGAATGTTGAAGGTACATTTATATTAATAATTTGTGTTGCTTGTTTCAGTGTGTATGGTTCAGAACTGAGACAGTTATAAATGGTGGCATTTCCTTGCCTGGCTGCACAGTTTCACAGGGTGTTACTGTGGTTTATATTTGCAGATACACTTGTCCAGGATAAGCTTCTCCCCTGCCCAAGGCTTATGCATGTTGTCTAATACTTTCAGATCTGTTGGGTTTTAAGTGGGATCTGTATGTTGTATAAATGTATGTGCAGGATAAATTGCACCTGGAAAAGGGATGTTAGCACTGATTTTTGTAGGAAATAAGGTTATCTGTTGATGCATTATGAATAATTGACTCTCATAGTTTTGAAAAAAAAATTAGAGTATTTTTTTGTTTAATTTTCATTAAAACTTCTTAAAATTTTTTTATACTACATTGATGCAAATTTTGAAACAAAAATACTTTATAAATTAAAAATAATTTCCATTTTTGCTTGGAACCAACAAACCATCTGTAAATTCAGTGAAGTTTTAACTGAAAAAATCACATGTGTAAATTTTGATGTTTTTAGTGTTCAAATGAAAATTTTCATCTCAGATCTTGAATATTTTCCTTAAAAATGCACACCATTATTATTATTATGCACACCAGCTTCACTTAACTTCAGTAAATGGGATAAAAAAAGTTTCTTGTTTTTCTTTTTTGCATAAAGCTTGAATTAAACACATTTTCAGCAACAACACTGCTAAGTTCTAATGGTCCCTTGGTTAGATATTGTAGAATGATGGAATTCCAGGTTGGAAGGGACCTCAAGGGTCATCCTTTCTTGGCAGAAACATGATCTAGGCAAGATGGCCCAGCACCCAGTCCAGCTGAATCTTAAAAATGTCCAACACTGGCAAATCCACAATTTTCTTGAGGAGATGGTTCCAATGACTGATCTCATTGTAAAATACTTTCCTCTTGTGTGCAGTTGGAATTTCCCCAGAATTAACATTTTACCTGCTGTCCTTCATCTTTTCCATGTGGTTCCCTGTATAAAGGGTCTCCCATCTTTTTTGGAGCTGCCCTTTAAATACTGAAACATGGTGAGGAGGTCTTCCCTAAGCCTTCCTTTCTCAAGGCTGGACAAACCCAGTTCTCTCAGCCTGTTCCCAATGGCAGGCTTCCCAGGCCCTTGATCACCTTTGTGGCCCTTCTCTAGACCCTCATAAATTCTCTAAAACTGATATTTATCTCTGCAATGATGCCCATTATTGTGAATTTCAGTGAGTTCACAGGAGATGGTACAATATGTCTCCAAGTTCCTAGAAGTGTTAAATAAGCATAATACTGTTAATCTGCCTGACAGTGGATTTGAGACAAATGCAGAGATACCTGGATATTTCCTCTGCTGACCTGTTTTTCAGTCCTTGTATGAGGAGGACTCTGGAACTGCCACTGTTCTTGCTGGCTGAGCAGTTGGTGATGGGGCCCTGTGTGACATAAACCCCTGTTGTGGGCAGAGTGTGCAACCTTCAGCAGTTCATGGTTGTGACTTCTGGGGCACTGCCTGGAACATAAAACTGGTGAATGTTTTTACAAAATAATCCAGGATTGGCTTGTGTGGGGAGATATTTGATATTTGTCCAAACCCTCACATCTGCAGCTTTCCAGGTTCCATAGGCACAAACGTGCTGCTGTCTTGTTAGGCCGTAGTGAGGATGTGATGGCTCACAGGTCCCAGCCTCACTTTTGAATGTGAGCATATATATGGGAATAGAAATGTTTGCATAGAGCAGCCAGAGCTATTGGCACATTGTTTTTCAAAAAGACTTCTCAGTAGTTCTATAGCACAGATATGCAATATCCATGGTAGATTGATACATATATATTGACTTCTTTGCAGTAGGCAAAAGTCAGGAAGAAGAGCTGTTTTAAAGTATTAAAGTGTTAATTAAAGTATTAATCATTTTGGTTGTTTTTAGGTCTGCTGACTTACTCTTTTTCCAGCTGTGCCAGTTTTTAACTGTCTTTCTCTTTCCAGGCTTTTACTTCAGCTTACCCAGTCACAACAGTTGTCCTTTGTGCTAGAGAATAACAGAAAATGTCAGAAAGAAATTGATGACAAAGTGGCTCTACTTGGTTTCGATGAAAACTCCTTGCTGTTGATGACCAAAGTAAGAGGATGTTTCTTTGTGTGCAGGGTCTCAGTTCTCTGTGTGGACTGGTTGTGCTCAAAGCATGACACTGCCCTGAGCTCATTAAATGTGCCAGGAAGCACAGGGAATTAGCTGGGGCAGCTGCTGGCAGGTGGTACCTGGAGCTGACAGAGATGCCTGTCGAGCCTTGTCACACAGGTGGATCTCTGATCTGCTGAGATTCTCCTTTCAGGAATGTGCTGTGTTGTGAAGTTTCTCACTGGACTTGTATTTGCAGATGCATCAGCACTGTGCATTTCCTGGGATTTACATTTTATCTGAGGAATTTTAGATGCCCCAAAGTGAATCACTAGTTTGAAGTGGAAGTCAGATTACTTTGATGGCCACAGCAGTATTAAACACTTGCATAAAAAGTACTAAGTATTTCCAGAAAAAGCCAGAGACTTTCTTTTGCATTTCTTTGTTTTGTTTAATGTACTGGTTTTTAAAAAAATAACAGAGGAGAGCAATATTGCCTTTAATCTCTTCACAGAGATTTAACATTTTAACTTTTTAACTTTTTTTTTTGTGCTATTTAAAGAGCCTCTGACTTTTATTGTAAGGATCAAAATAAAGCCAGCTAGATTCTAACTTTGCTGTCAGCATTACAGCTTTAAGCCAAGCCCCTGCTGGGCTGCAGGCAGTCAGAGGGATGGCATCCATGAGAGGGCAGTAGCACACAGGCTACCTCAGGGTTTGGAAAAGCTGGAAAAAGAAACTTCTCTCCTTGCTTCCCTTGCTGGGACATGCCCCAGGAGCAGTTCAGTGTTGACGATGGTGCAAGGTGAGCACTGAATGCAGAGCTGGCCTTGAGATTCCTGCTGCTATTCAGAGTGAAACCCCCTGTGCAAGCACAGCCTGAAGCCGGAGGGGTTGTGCAGTGCTGAGCTTTGGTCTCAGCTCTCCCTGGATGCAGAATGCCAAGGCAGGCAACTTCAGCATGGCTTGGAATCTTTTCCAGGATGGTGTGTGGTTCATGTGACAAGGGCTTTGCCTGTAAAGATCTGTTATTAATGCCATGTTTGATGGGTTTTTCTCTGCAAGTTATTTTCTTGATTCTCTTCTTTCTTACTCTTTTTGCAGGCTATGGGGCAGGATCTTATACCAGAAAAACTAAAAGAAGAGTTTCAGGGTGAGGTAAAATGCATAGGCCCATCAGCACTGTCATCACTGGTAACTGCTTCAGTCATAGAATTTGAAATAAAATGGTTTGGTAATCTCCAAGATGATTTATGTCACTTTGATGGACAATTTTATTCAAACATTTATCTCCCACCTTCAGTAACATAGACATTTTGTTGTATTTATTCTTGTATTTCCAAATGATTACGGCATGATACATGCAATAAAGTTCATTTTACATTTTTAAGAATTTTTATTGTACTTCTTTCAAGAGTAGATACAAATCTCTATATTTAAACTCTTAACCTTGCATCCTTTTCTTTGCTCACTGATTTGTTTGTATTTAAAATTATAAGGAACACAGTGTAAAATCAAGCTTTCAGCTTTCAGAGGTAGCTTTCCATCATAATCCTCACCAATTTGTGCTTGAAGTGTGTGTGATTTTTTTGGAGGCCTGCAATGCTGGTGAGATGGAAGCTTCCTTTCTGATGTCCAATTTGAAAGTTTCTTATTATCAAATTTGATGTTGTTGCATTTAGAGCCATGGAATGAGCCATTTTCTTAAGTAATTATTTTAATATTTCTTGATTAACGTTATAGTGATTTCCTGTTCGGAGATAGATAGCTAGAAATCTCAAATATATTTATGCTGAGAAATTGTCAATAACAATAATTCCATATATTTTAGGAAGGAAATTTAAGTCATAAATATTTAACTTAAAACAAGGAGATTTTCTCCTTTTGAAGCCAAGTGTTTGTTGCAGGCATTGAACAAGCCATAGTCTTGTGTTCAGTGTGCTTAGACGAGAAGGAGAAGAACTGACAAGGTTGTTTATATGTACTGAAGAGTGTTTAGTCAGATCATATCCTTTGTAAAAGCCTGCAAGGAAGAGCTCTGCTGTGAAAACTGGCAGTGTTGTTTCTGCCTCATCCAGCTCCGTCTGTTGTGCTTTCAGTTGTCAGTGACAACACTTTGCTTTGCTTTCTCAAGCACTGGTGCTGTGTGCTTTGGGCATCTAGAAGAGGGCAAAGATCCTCCTGTAGTTTCTTTCACTTGAAGTAGTTTACATTTCAGACATACATGGTGTGCTCTTCCTCCATCTTCTCTTAAACTGTGAGACTTAATTTTTCTGTAGCTTTCTGTAAAAGTGTTCTATAATGGATGTAGTTTAAAACTAGAAGTCTCTTAGACATACTTTGCTGTCCCTTGTCTTCATGTGTTCCTGTGTTTTCTTTCTGGAGTACTAAAGAGTGCCAAAACCTTAAATAATTCACAATTGCACGATGATTCACCATGTGTGAATTGTATCTACTACTTTTGGATGAACTTTAAAGCTTTAAGATACTGATTAGGGAACTATCACGATTCATAGAATGGTTTGGATTGGAAGGGACATTAAAGATCATCTAGTTCCATCCCCACTGCCACAGGCAGGAACACCTTCCACTAGACATCTCTGATCATCCTCTTCTAGTGTCTCACCATTCTCACAGCAAAGAATTTCTTTCTAATATCTAAACTAAATCTGCCCTCTTTAAGTTTGAATCCATTCCCCCTAGTCCTGTGACTACAAAAAAAAAGTCCCTCTTTGTAAAAAGTCCCTCTCCAGCTTTCTTGTATCCTCCTTTAAGTACTGGAAAGCCCCAATGAGATCTCCCCGGAGCCTTCTCCAGGCTGCAGAGCACCACTTGTCTCAGCCTTTCCTCATAGGAGAGGTGCTCCATCCCTCTGAACATCTTTGTGGCCTCTTCTGGACTCACTTCAGCAGGGCCATGTCCTTCCTCTGCTGGGGACCCCAGAGCTGGGTGCAGCACTGCAGGTGGGCTCTCACCAGAGCAGAGCAGAGAGGCAGAATCCCCTCCCTCACCCTGCTGCCCACGGGGCTCTAGATGCAGCCCAGGACGGGTTTGGCTTTCTGGGCTGCAGCACCCCCAGCTCTCAGCACGGCTGCTCTCAGTCTGTTCATCCCCAGCCTGGACTGGTACCGGGGCTTGCCCCAACCCAGGTGCAGCATCTTGCACTTGGTCTGGTTAAACCTCATGAGATTCTTGAGCTTGTCCAGGGCCCTCTGGATGGCATCCCATCCTCTAGGTGTGTCAGCTGCACCACTCGGTGACACCGCTCAGTGTCATCTGCAGACTTGCTGAGGGTGCGCTCCATCCCTTCGTCTGCGTGACTGATGAAGAGATTGAACCCTTGGTGTGGTTTAGCCCTCTGCTAGGTTGACTGAAACGCCTCCAGAAAAATGGAATATTGCCTTCAGCCATGTCAAATTACTTTGATAGTTTGGTGAGTTGGTGTGATTGAAGCACATCCTGGGCAGCTGGTTACGAAAGACGTGACTTGGCAGTGCCCTTGGGTGAGCACTGGTGCGCTCATCGTGTACCACAGAGATCTGCTTTAGTCACGCGAGCGCTTCGCTGGGCGGAAACCTTTGTGTGCCTTTGTCAGCACTGTAGTCAGGTGGCCATGAAGCCCTCTTGAAGGGCTGGGGATGCTTTTAAGACTAAGAGGTGTCGTAATTCTTCAGAAGAGACTGTCCACAATGTGTTGTAAATTAATTACAATGTTGGCATGAACAGCAGAATCTTACAGCAAAGACAGCAAATGTGAAAAGCTTAGTGCTAAATATGTCAGCAAAAAAAGAAACATGGACATCTCCCACTTTTTTCTTGAACTGAAGGTCATAAGTAGCCACATAAAAAGGCTGTAATTTGTTTTGTCTCAGCTGTTAGGACATCAGAACACAGCTTTTATGGGATCAGGTCTGTATAGACATTTAATGGAAACGCACCAAATTATTTGGCTTCACAAATAGCATTGGAACTGTTTTAGCAGCAAATTAAATACTTGCCAAACGTTGTCATTTTGCGACTGAGATGTCCAAAATACACAGCAGCTAGCCAAGGTGATTTGGAAACTTTTTGTTGCCTGTCCAGATTGTTTGACTTGACATTGTCACTTAAGCTGGGAACACAAAGGTTAACTCCTCACTGGTTCCAGGAATTAAAGACAAGTGGTAGCTCTTAATAGTGGGCAGTATTTTCTAAAACATAATAATAAAGCAAAAATGTTGATTTTAACTACTGCAAAGAGAAGAAGATGAATGCTGTTCTGAATGTGTCACATAGTTACTGTTCCAAATAACCAGTGTTTATTGCACTGGGGCTATAAAATGTTCCTTTGTCCCATTTTTGCCTGGCTATCTCTCATCTTAGCTACTTCATTTCTTCCTCTTTTGGTCTGCCTCTCCCTTTTTTGTGCCTCTTCTAACTCTAGTTTTCTGTTTCTGATCATGTCTCTAGAGGGGCTTTGCATTTCCATTTTGCATTGAATGCTTCATTGTTGCCTCTACCTTCTGCCTGTAATAATTTTACATCTGCCTGTAATAGATTTCTTCATTATTTGGCTTTTATATTATTGTTGGTATTAGTGTATACATCACTACTCCATTCTAAGTTAAACAGCCAATTTTAGTACTGCAAATTGCAAGTGAGAATCCACTTACAGTTACTGAGGTTTGATTTTGTTATTTTAACATTTGCCTGTGGTACAGGTGCTTTGGGAAGGACCCTCTGCTGCTGGTTCTGATGCTCCTGGAGTGATTGCTGTCTGCAAACACCATTATGTGTCTTGCTGTTGAGAGTTTGCTGCTGGCTTTGAGGTGAGGGACCGTGTTAGCGCTGTAATTAGTACCATTAACACAGTTTTCATCACAGAATCACCCTTCACTTGGGTTGGAAGGGAACTTCAAATATTGTCCAGTTCCAACCTTCCTGCCTGGGGGGTTGGCAGGGAACTTTCCACTCAACCAGGTTGCTCAAAGCCCCATCCAACCTGACTTTGAACACTGCCAGTGATGGGGCATCCATAACTTCTCTGGGCAACCTGTTGCAGTGCCTCACCATGCTAACCATAAAAATAATCTTCCTTGTGTCCAGTCTAAATCTACCCTCTTTCAAATTAAAACCTGTCATCCTGTCACTGGGTTGACCTTGGTCTGCTGCCAGGTGCCCACCCCAATGCTCTACCACCCCCTGTCCTCCCAGCACCACAGGGAAGGAGAAAATAAGACGGATAGAAAAAAGACCTGTGGTTCACAATAAAGGCAGTTTAATAGAGAAAAAGCAAAGGCCGCACAAGGAAACAAAGGGGAAAAAAATGTATTTATTCTCTCTTTTCATCAGTCATTGTAAAAACGAGGAATCAAGGGTGTGACATGGAGTCCTGCTTGTGCTCAGCTTAGAGGCACCTGCATTGCTGGCAGGAGCAGAGGGGGTTTAGGTAGTGCCAACTTCTGCTGCCTTCTTTCTGGTACACATACACAAGCTAGATGAAAAATGCAAGCAAACCCATTTTGACAGTAATCTGGGAACCCAGGTGGGACTCTGTGGGCTCCCCACCTGGCGAGTGAGGTGATGGCATATGACACAGCCAGTACTGGGTGAGGTCCCCCAATTGTCCTTGCAGGAGCCACACTTCCTGGGAAGGTACTGGAACTGGGACAGCATCAATCGTCAGGGGTTCAGTAGGTAAATAAAATGGGGTTCACTGGTGACAGAAATTCTGGAAAACTAGAAGAAAATGGACAGTACTTCAGGACTGCCATCAAGCTGGGTGTAATTCTGTGTCAGGATGAGTGGCTGGAATGCTGGAGGGGAGACCCTCCAAGCACTGGCCCCTCTGATAGGAGGCACTTGACCTTCCTGCCTCCTGTGTGACACATTGTAAGGCAGAATTGCTTCATACCTGCACACAATTCCACATCACCTTCTTGTCCAGAACAGGACAAAGTGGAATTAATTTCCAAGATCTATTGCTCTATCACCTCCCCAGGAATAGAGGTGCAGTTGGTAGGCCTAGTGAGGGTCCTGGAAAAGGAGAAGGATTTTGGTGTGCAATGGTTGAGGGAGGAGTAACACCTGGATGGTCTTTGCTTTCTAGGAGGAGTAACAGGGTAAGGCTGGGGAACTGTCTGTGTCACAAAGGAAAAAAAATAAAAAAGGGGAAAAAAGCAGCCTGTGGAAGAACTGGCAAACTGACAACAATGGACATGGAGAAGGCTGAGATATTAAACTAATTTTCTGCCTCAGTTTTCACTGGCAACCTCTCCTCTTATGCCTCTTGAGTCAATGGCTCTCAAGGCAGGGCCTGGGGAAGCAAAGTCCCTCCTACTGTAAGAGAAGATCAGGGTCGAGAGCACCTGAGGAACCTGAACACACCTGAGTCTGGGACCTGGTGAGATGTGTGCTAGAGTCCTGAGGGAATTGGCTGGTGTAGTTGCCAAGCCATTCTCCTTGACACTTGAAGTCATGGAAGTCAGGTGAAGTCCCAGGTGACTGGAAGCAGCCTGTGGAAGAAACAATCAGTGAAGTGCTCCCAGGTTCACAGGCAGCAAGCACAGGGAATGTCCTTGAGCACAGGCTCCTCCGAGTGCCTCCAGTGTGAGCAGCAATTGCCAGTGGGATCCGGTGGGAGTTGTGTGTCCAGGCACCAGGATGCACATTCCAAACCACCTGAATGGGCAGCACTTGCTCACAGGACACCAGCTGAAAGACCTGCAGGGCTAGTTCTGGCTGGGGAAGGGACAGTGGGACACACTGGAAAACCCTGGCCAAGCCCAGCCTATTCACGCAGCTTAGCACCAGGGTGTGAATGCTGGAGCAGCTGTGGGTTCCTGGTGCTCTGCAAAACTTCCCTTCCCGGTGCCTGACAGTCCCCTGGGCAGTGGCACTTGCCTGCTCTCTGCTCCCCGTGGTGAGGACATGCACAGAACCAGCCCTGACAGGAGTGTCCTCATTGCTGTCACCACCAGTGGTGCTCTGACATGGCAGAGTTGCCCTCCAGAAAGCCCTGGGGCTTTTCTTAGGCTCTGCAGGGGCCCACATGGGGACTTAATTGACCTCCAGGGTGCTCTGAGGCCTCACCTGGGCTTTGCTGGGGCCTCTTGGAGGCCCCTGCTGTCCTCCACAGGTCCTCCCACTCTAAAAAAGTCTAAACATCCCCAAAGAGTAACTTTTAATTAGAAATTCGTTTCTGTAGATAATCTGGAGTTTGGTATAGGCTACATTTATTGAAGCTTTTTAGCCCCACCCAGATCATCTTCCTTCAAAATAGGACAAAACAGGACAAAATAGGAGGGCCTCAGCAGAAGCCAGTGGGCCTCAGCAAAGCCCAGATGAGATCCTGACTCACTAGGAAAGGTGACCAAAGCAGAGGGGCAGAATCCCCTCCCTGGCCCTGCTGCCCATGGGGCTTTGGATGCTGCTCAGGGCACATTTGGCCTTCTGGGCTGTGTGTGCACAGCAACAGCTCATGTCCTATAAACCACCCAGTACTCCCAGGTTCTCCTCTGAGAGGAGAATCCAATCACCCTCTACTCTGCACAGACACTGTGGATTGCCCCAGCCCAGGTGCAGGACCTCGCACTTGGCCTTGTTGAACTTCATGGGGTTCACGTGGGCCTCCAGCCTGTCCAGCTCCCTCTGGACAACATCCCTTCCCTCAAGTGACTCACCTGCAGCACTCAGCTTGCTGTCACCCTCACACTTGAGGAGGGTGCACGGTGTGGTAGCCGAGCTTATCGGGGCCCTTCCCTTGGTGCAGGTGGACAGGGCAGGTCAGCACCTGCCATGGCCTTCCTGACAGTTTCTGCAGCTGCCTATGAACGTTGCCCTTTATCACTAAGTTGTGGGGGCCTGTTAGGATTTTTAGCATAACTCATTGCTGACATTGTAAACTAACTGTTTTCCATCAAAACTCAAATTTCATTCACTTGATGTTCAAGTTCAGCTGTTGTCTGAACCAACAACCTGTTTTCCTGATCCAGCTGAAATTAACTCACAGTGGTCCTTCTGGATTATTAGCTTGACCCCTACCTCCTTTTCATTAGCTATGTTCACCAAAACTTTTGTAGGCAAATTGTCTTGCCCTACAGAGGTGAAAAGAGCTCCTTCATGGACTTCACAGGTCATGGCTTGAGGAAATCAAGGTCTACAAATTTCTACCCACATCCCCTTCTGTACCACCCCATCTGGGCCACAACAGGACCAGAAATGAACCACACTTAGAAGGAAAATCTTAATTAGTCTCTTTGGACACCTTAATTCTGTTCCTGCTGATTTCTTCTTCTTTCTGTTTCTTCTTCATCTGGACTTTGACTGCATGGGATTAATTCAGCTTTTGAAAGAGAATAGAGTAAGGTGTACATGGCAGGCAATAGAATATGAAGAAAAAAGTATTCTCTTTTATTTGAATGGTTGCTATACTCAGATAAATAAGTAGAATTATCATAGGAATGAAAATCAAATTTCCCTTCTCCCCAAGGAATCCAAAAAATGTTGCTATGTACAGAATTTACAATTATATGCAATAGTTGATTATTATTATAGACTCCAAAATTTGGTATTACTGGTTAAAACAGCCATATTGAAGCTAGAGCAGGATGTGTCCATCCTGTACCTCTCATAATGTTCTTTAAACTTTACAGGTATGCGTCCAAAATGATTGCTCTTCCAAAGATGAGAAACCTTCTTCACCTGCATACAGTTATCATCATCCACAGTCTACATAATTAAATTGCATTCCTTTTTGAGCAGGTGAGAAGTCAGGGAAAACAGACCAGAAGTGCAAATGTATTTAGGGTTCTGTTTTCTGTTGGAGGCATATGAAAAACAATACAAAGCAGGTGTGGAACAAAAAAATCTACTGATAAATCAACAGCTGTTAGGCATCTTGGTAATTTGGATGGAAATCCTTTGTTTCATGAATTTTCTTACTTTTCTTACTGTGCTTCTTACAGAAGCTTCCTTAGTTATCATGGATTATTTGGCAAAAAGTTTTTCTGGTTTGGTTCAAGTTGCTAAACCTCTGTAACTTCCTTTGTAACTGTAGTCCATGAGCACTAGAGACACCCAGTTGACCTTTAAAAATTAGAGGCCATGAAGAACTCGGTGGTATCTCTAACTTCAGGTTCAATCAGACGACACAGAAATTATTTTAAAGATCCATGTGCAATTAAATGAATTGGAACTCAGTCCTGGTGTGTTAGTAGTAGGAATTTGCTTCTTTAACTCAGCTTCATTTTCCAGTCTGCACCTTCACAGCTTCTCTGCATAAGGAAAGTTGCCCTGAGCTGGTAGGATTGGAGGTTTGTAACCAGGTGTGCTGGACACACCCGTGTTGCTGATGAGTGGAACTGAACTGGGGTGAATGTGTCTTCCACAACCGGAACTGTCGGACTCCATCCATGTCAAGGGTACCAGGTCCCTTCCTGAGAATCCTTGGGAACAGCCATCCTTGCTGTGCAGCTCAAGGAGAGAGCTCTATGTGCTGTGGCAGGACCTGTGCTTCCCTGCCAGCCCAAGGACAGTCCCCATAAATCAAGATTAAGGTTTGATGAGAGCACAAAGGTATCCTGCTGCTGCCATGGAAATAGCAGCCTTCAGTCTCCTTATTCAAGTGCATAAAATGCATAGTAGTAAACTGTGCACTACCCCCTTCCTGTTGCCTGGACATAAGAAAAACTGTTACTGTCCTTCTGGTGCACAAATAAGCTGCCAGGGGCAGGTGACAGGCAGCAGCAGTGTTGCACTCTGAGCAGCACTATTCAGATGTGTTCTTCCTGGGATCCTGATGCACCTGAGGTTCACACATTAGCAGCCTTGGCTTTTTAATCAGGGAAATGAAGCATCCATAAGCAACAAAACAAGAGGCTTGAAATCATCCTCATTTGTGTTATACAGAATTTCTATATTCATCAGTACACAAGTGATTGCTAAACAGGTCCTCGCTACATTTACTTGGATTTCCAAACAAGGTGGTTATTATGCAAACAGGTTAGCTTTGTGGAGGCATCTCCAGGATGAGCTTAACCCTGTCCTGTTCGGTTCCTCTTGCCTGAGCCTTATAGGTCTGTAAATGTTCATGTTGTTATAGGGAACTGTGGAGTTTTCAGCCACGTAGTGTGGCTGGTAGTAGTTAGGCTGGATGGCCTTCTGTGGAGGCGGGGGCGTGAACGAGACATAGCTGTGGAAGGAATTGACTCGCTGCAGAGGTGACTGGGGGCTGAAGTTGCTGTTGAACATGAGAGTTCTTGGGGTCTGCTTGCTCTGGTGGGTGCTCCCAGCGGACAGGCTGCTGAAGGGGTCGGACAGGGTGTTGGCGCTTCCCTCGTCGCTGCAGGGCAGGCTGCGCGGGCGGGCCCAGCTCCGGCTGAACAGGAACGGGAGGCTGCGCGGCGGGGTCTTGGGGCCCCGCACGGGCTTGGACAGCGCGTACAGGTGCCGGAACTCCTCGTCAAAGAGCTCCACAACCTGGCCCGTGAACTTGGAGAGGAGGTTGCGGTGAACCTGGCCACACAGCCACGTGAAGCTGGAAGAAGAGACAAGGTAAGGGTTAGAGTTAACGCCGCCGTCAGGAGCTGCACATCCCCCGCAGGGGTGATGCGATAGGCAAATGTGTTTTACTGCTGAAGCTTCTTGTCTAAACACAGGATGAAGATGGTGTCGAAGTTGAATTTCAGGTCAGTTCACATCAGTGCTCTTTAACTTGGATCAATCTTTGTTATTGCAGCTGCCTCTAAAACCTTCAAGAAACCTTGCAACGTTATGCAACCTCCTGAAGGGAGTGGTGATCCAGATCCACTGCAGGGACAAATGTCAGATACAATACCCAAGGTGGCTGTTCCATGGAAAGGAGTTTAGACCCTTCTTTTGGGGACTTCTCCTCCTTCCACTCACAATGCTTAAATTCAGGTCTTATCTGCACACACGTAAATTGTACCTTGTACCCTCCAAGATGCCATTCCACTTGGTAACTCTCAGCCATTCCAAGTGACATCAAAAAGACTAGGCAAAAAGAACCATCCTTTGTTTCCATTTTTTCCATAATCTTTCTGCATTGGTCAAGAGAACACTTAAAACCTCAACCTTCCTGTCACATCCCATACCACAAAGCAACCTGCCACACCTGACAAATGCTTGTTTTCTTCACTACAGAGAAAATGAAATTACAAATATTTCCTACAGCATTTCCAAAAATAAATGCAATACTTTGCTATAAAGTAAGGGAGAAGCACCACAATAGTTTTAATTCTGGTAGTTCAGAGACACACCTTGGGGATAACCCACAACTTTTAAATTATTTTTCTTTTATGTGCTTCCCTAATCCACTCAGCAAACATAAATTCGTGCTTTTATAAAACCACAAGGCAGCTTGATTGTGTTGCACAGGCTGCTGTGTCTGAGCAGCAGCAGCACCAATAAAATGAATATAGTTGAGAGAATGAAATGTAATTACTCCCTGAACTGACCAGGGCTTGAGCTATGCAGCAGAGGATACAGAGCAGCAGTGGATTTGAATCTCAGATTATTCTGTGTTGGCAAAACTCTGCCATGGTTATTCCTGTGTGACTTTATTAGCTATGCTGGATTTGCACAAGGGCTGCTGAGAGCCACATTTGGCTGTAGGTGTGTGCACTTAAAATCTTGTCATGTTTTGATAAAACTCCTGTGAAGCTCAGTGGGACTGACAGCCTGAGCTGATACTGAGGCAGTAAGACACACAATTTACACCTGCTTGTCCAGAGCATTCCTAAAGAGGGTTGGGTTTGAGGTATACAGTGATTTTACACTGTTGCTTCAGGAGCAGGGGAAGGAGTGAAGAAATCAGTAGTTCAATGCCACTGGGCACCCATACAATTTATACTGTACATTTTATGATTGGACAAGAAAACACATAGTAAGTTACCAAAATTCAGGTACTTCTCATCCACTGTGTTCAAATCATTCTAAATATGGACAAAACCTTGGAAGCGAACATAAAGAGCAAGCTAACTACCTGCCAGGAATCTAACATCTGCTATGCCAGCTCAACATTGCCTTTATTCACTGAGCAGTGCTCTCTAAACCTTTGCATGCCCTTCATCTAACTGTTAAAGAGACAATAGATCAGAAATAAATACAAAAATGCACACAAGGATATCTAGGATACTATATTGAAGGTTACAAACTCATGAAAGGGCTGAGGTCCAAAGTATCATGTTTATACTTTATGTGCTAGAGATAGGTCTAGTTTATAAAAGAAAATTTAAGACAAATATAAATGAATTACACTTGTAAATGGCTGTTAAAAGCATAACAGAATCAGAGGAAAAAAATCTGTTCTGCCCAATGGTGATAATTTACTCCCATATGTATCTTCCTGGAGTACCTGACAGACAGATAGTAGTTTGTGGGTCATTGATTTTACCTGTAACCCTTGTAACAGAGAAAGATCAAATGAATAGCCCAGAGATTCTCCAAGAACCAATGGCAAATGGGTCAGCTCAAAGTTACAAGGTAAGATCTTTGTGATTATAGACAAACACTTGTGGACTTGTTGTGTAGTGAGTCACAGCAATTTACAGTCTGTGTACTTTGCTGGGGAACAAAACAGAACTTGGCATGAAAGATTTCATTGGCTTAATTCTAAGAGAAAATGCATTGTTTAGATTTTAGGCCTTGTTTTGCTCCTTAGTTTACCATTCTGAATGCTCTTTTGGGACAGGCTCAGAGAAGTCTGTTATTGTCACCACCTGCCCAGAAGGATCACTTTTCTCCCAGATTTTTTTGGGTGAGGCCCATCAAAAGAAGAGAAAGCACAAAGAAATGATGCCTGGCTTGGGGCCAGTGCTGTATCATACATTCAGTCAGAGATAGATACTGCTCAGACATCTTTCCAGGGCTTTGTCCTCTGTCCTGTTACAGACCCTCTCATTTATGATGTTCTCAATCAAATCCCACCTCTCCTGTTCAGCATTGGACTTGTTTTATAGTGGGTGTCCTCTCTGCACTGCTGGAGCTGCAGTTCAGTAGGGATGTTCTCATCCCTGTGTTCACAGTGCTGCAGCAATGTGCAGCACAACACCCATGGAATCTGAAATGGAAGGAAGTTTTCTTCCTTCTGGGGTTTTCAGCTGGGCTCAGGTTTGGGTTAGCTTGATGTTAGTGTTGCCTGCTGGTGGATAACCTGTGTGGGAGAAACCTGCCCCACCTGAAGTGATGCTCCTGGCAAAGCATGTCTGTGTTAGCTGGTAGGTGCTGACTCTGAAGAGGCCAGTGGCTTTCAGAGGGGCAGCCAGGGAGATACTCAGCTGCCCTGGGGATCAAGGTCTGTGCTTTCTGCTGTTTTCATTTTGCCTTCTTTAGGAAAGCTGAGTTCATGCACTATCTAATTTCAAAGTCATTAAAAAAATGGAATAACAGTTACCATAGGATGAGGTAGAGTGACACAGAGACAGCAAAAAGAAATACTGCATTCTAACCCCTCACCATAGATACTGGCAATAAAAACTGAGACTATGTCCTGAAGGGCTATTTTATTTCCTCAGCCTGTTCCCCCCACCACTATTACAACTATCATGCAGAGCTCAGCACTTTGGTGAAATTTGGTATTGTATTTTAAAACCTTTGTATCAGTTTTAAGATATACTCCAATTTGATTTCCAGCAAATGAATTGCAGAAGAGTTTTAGTCTGTTTCACTCAACATCATTCTTGTTTATACCTGAAGAGGTTGGTGGATAAGATTTAAGCATAACAAAAATCTTTCAGGTTAATAAAGTGAGAGCTAGCAAGAAATGCCACATACTGGTAGCCAGCTATAACCCATGTGAATTGCAAACTGGTGCTGGATATGCTGAAGCTAAATAGTTTTTAACGGTTTTAAATACATTTGTTCCTCACCACCCTCTCTGTTTGTGTGCTAGATATGGAATTACATCTTCTGGCAAGGTACTTGAGATTAGAAGATATTCAACAGCAGTAGACAGAAGTGACTGCACAGGACTTCAGGTGCTTTTAGTGTTTTTGGTATTGAAAGAGAAACCAAAAGGAAGCTTCTTGGTCAGAGAAAAGAGATCTTGTTCTGTCCTTCTCCCACACATCCTTCACTTCTACTCTATACAAGTCTTTTGTTGGATTTAACACATCTTTGACCAGGGATGAAAAACCACCCAAAATAACAAGAAAACAAAATAACAGTCAATAAAAAACCCCAACCCTGAGTGTCCACTAAGTTTTGTCTGGTTAATTTGGAAATGGAATGAAAAGTGGGTGCCTGTGTTTGTGTACATCTGAGCTCCTGCAGCCCATCCCCAGAAATTCACTTTTTCTTTCGTTGCTGTAGTTCTGTAGACTTTCTGATGGCACAGTTTTATCAGACCAGGGGCATTTAAGCTTCCAAATAATAAACTGGAATTAAGAAAAATAAACGCATCCTTAAATTCAATAATCACCTATTGTATTTTTGTACCTGGATTTCTAGGATACACTTGGTCATTTGTGAAACATATCTATGTAGCCATGATGCTCAGAAACTTCATTTATTTGATGCAAGCTCAGTCTCCTGAAATTCCCTGACCAGAGGATCTAGGATCTTACTTAAAAATCCAGTTGTTGAGATGTTATATCCACTGCCTGAAATAATTACAGCAGCACAAACAAAACAAACAAACAAACAAAATGTAAAAAAGGGGGGAAATGCAGGTAGAGTAGTTACGTGGATATATACTGGCTACCTGTTAATAAAACACACAGAAAAACAGTAAGTCTCTGAAGTATTTCTGTTTTACCTTTAATCACTAAATTTGTCATATGAGGAACAAATCCTCAGATAAGCTGAGTGACATATGCTGCATTAAGGGATCCCGAGGGAGACAGAAATGTATCATGCCTCATGATCACAACACTTGAGAACCTTAACAATGAGGAAAACATAATATTAAGCTGTACACATTTCTAGCTTTGCCCCAGGGCTGCACTGGCAAAGTTGTTTACATTAGTTTCTGAACATTTAAATTAAAACCCATGCTCCATAAAGAATTAAGAGCAGCTTTAAAGCAAGTTAAGTAGATTTTTGAAAAATGGCACGTATTTGAAAACATGAGGTGTTTTTTGTTAAACAAAAGCTTCTTACCTTACAAAGATTTCCATGGCACTTTTCTTGGGAAGAAATACTAAAAAATCATAAGAAGTACCTAGAGATGAAGTGCAATGGCTTATCTCACCTGTAAGATCCAGAAAGCACATATCTCCAGTCACAGATCAGAAATTTTTCTTGAATTTGTCCTGAAAATTTCCTGCCTGACTTGGCACAGTAAACCTCTCCAGTAACACTGCGGACTGAAATATTCTGTAAATAAAAATAAAACTGAGTGAATTACTTTTTAATAAAAATCAGACAGGGAGGGTTCTTTTCCCCACTGCCTTTAGCTCTTCACTGCCCGAATGTCAAATTTCTTTATGGACTCTCTGATGTGATATTTGAAGGTTTGTGTCCAGAAGACAAGGTCTCTCACTTGCCAGGGGTTCCTTGCTTCACTGGGGATATAAACCTGTGTGGAAGCTCATGCAGGTGGAGATGAGCTGTGTGACAGTAAGTGACCCTACCCAGCCAAAAGGAGCACGGATGTGTCCATAGCTGGGAGCAGCCTGCTGCCTTCCACTGACAGCCCAGGCACAGTCTGCTGTAGCTGGATATTCCTTTGATTTACATTGCCTGTGCCATGCCAGAGCAGGGCAAAACCTCTGCTCCTCCAATCCTGCAAGGACACACTCTCCTAGCAGTGAGGGTTTACAGGCATGCAAACACTTATGAACATGCATTATTAATTTCAGCTCCTTTATATATTTGGGATGGAATTCAGCTGTTGAAAACCAGGTGTCTGGTGTATGTGTAAGATGCCCTCAGGTCTCCTGTGTGCCCACAGCTGCCATTCCAGAGGTCTGTGGCCTCTGCAGTATCACCCATCCCCAGGGAGATGCCATAGGAGCTCTACAGCATCTCAAGCAACAACTGAAATAATCCCTAGGAGGGGTTCTTTTAAAGCCAGCTCCTTCTGACAGAGATGAAGGCAGATTAAATTAACAGCCACCTAAATTTAAGAGCTTTTAGCACATATTATCAGAAATGTGTTAAAATTTTAAAAGAGCTTTAACACATTTTATCACAAACCACCCAGTGCAACCAAGCTATGACTATGCAAAAGAGTTTTGTGCACCTTCTCCCTGTGGCTGCCAGGCCACAGCTGCTGCAGAGCTATTAAACAGAAGCAGCTCTAATGCCTATGTTAGATAACTCTACTAGGGAAATCTAAGTCCTGTTTTAAGACTTCAGGGTCAAGATTACTTTCATCTGGGAACCTAATGGAAATGCCTTACCTTTCTATAATATCCATGGGAAAACGTAGGCATCTTCAAAGAGGAATTGGGTGTGCTAACACCACCCCAGGAAATCTCTTGCACCCTTTTAATTAGAAGGTGGACTGACCCTGGCATAACCATGCTTCTAGCTCAGAGTGCCTGCAGTTAGGCAGACAACTCTCAGCCTAGAAGCTTCACAGAGCCACAGTACCTTGAAGAGATCCTCAGAAATCTGCAGCTTGTCGCACATCTCCGAGAAAAGATCGATACTGCCGTGATCGAGCAGCAGGTAGACAAAGACCATGCGCTTGTTCGCTGCCTCCAGGAGGTCACAGAGAATCTCAGTGTCTGTGAACACATCCATCACAATGGCTAACACCTTCAGAAAGAGAGCACAGGCATTAGCAGAGTCAATTCACATCATTTAAGGTCGCTGTGAGGACACTGTGATGTAGTTTGTTTAAAAAAATATTCCAATAACCACAAATATTTAGTTATATGTGGATATTTTTTCTGTTTTTCTCCCTATAAGTGCCTGAATCATTAAACTGATTAAACATATTGCCTCATTGCTTTATTCCTCATCTAAAGCCAGTCTAACACACAACATATGACATGATGATATGAATTTGTAGGTGAGATTTCAGCACTAGGAAATACATTGAAATACTTACCAGAGAATGATAAGAATGTGGCTAAATAAAAGACCATATCCCTTTCCACACGGGTCACTAGGTGTCATAAGCCACATTCAGCAAAAATCCCTGGATGATGCTTTCTGTTTTATGATTTACACCTGGACAGCTCTGGCTTTAAAAAGCCTCACCCTGTTGTTGGTGGTGGTGGGGTGATAGACTCCAACAGCTCCATATTTTTTAAAACACTGATTTATAAACTAACTGTTAGAATTTGATCACACATCCATGCTCCCCAATACACAACTGGCAGAATATTGTAAAAGTCTCAGGATTGGGCATAAAAGCCCTGACAATTGTTTAAATGCACAGCTTGCAGCCAGTGTGGATCAAGAGAACTGTAAATGTGATATAAAACCAGCTCCATAGTAGAAAGTGCTGGTCTTGTCTGATGTCTGCTACTGCCCATGGAAAGGGTCAACTCAGCCCAGCTATTACCTGACTTATCTTCAGGAGGTGCTTGTTTCTCCACTGACTGGAGAGGGAACTTTGATAACTGTGCTCATGGGACATCACCTTCAATCAAAACAAACTTTACAGCATCTCTCTAGATCTCTCTTACTAACTGCTTCCAGCTTGTTCTGAATCTTGCTCCAAAACCTATGCCCACACCTAACAGCAATCTTATTCCCCTTGCCACCATGAGGATATCCTACAAGACCAGGCATATCCTGTGCAGCCATCGTCCTCTTTGTGCTGCCAAACTATTCATGGAGCAGTGAGGATCCCACACCTTCCTCCTGCTGCCAAAGCCTGGTGCTTCAGAAAGAGCTTTGCCATGGCTTGGTAAGCACAATTATGTCAAATATCTCACATCCACACTTCCTGTTAATGCCCCAGCTCCAAACTGTTCTATCTGGTACTGCTCTTTACCACCTGTTCCCAATTTATACCTCTGCATCTGACCTTTCTCTCTTACTTGCAGTACTCCTAATTTCTTCTGCCTGAATTCCATTTTGTGATTTGCACTAATTCCACAAATGTGTTAAAATTGTAGCATCCCTTGCTAATCCTTTGCAGTTTGAGATCATCCATAAACACAGTCTTTATTATGTTATTTAATTTTTTAATGCATATATCAAATGCCAGGCTATCCAGGATGAACCCTTACCAGATGATAATTAATAACTAGTGCCATTGGAAAACTGTGCTCAAAAAGCAGTTCACAAATTTATTTAAATGACACTAACAGTGTCACAAACAGTGATACTGTTAGTGTCACTTCAGCACACTCTCATAATGTAAATTAGATTATTAAGAAGGTCATGTGAACCATGGGTTTACATTACATTTCCCAATTTTTTGCCCACAAGTTTTTTCTTTTTGGGACAGAAAATTGGTCTGGGTTGGTATTTTACCTGATGCCTATTTTATTATTCCAGAGACATTTCTTCTGCTTCTGCATCTTTCTGATGCCTCCAACTTAAAAGGAGTGATCTCTAATTCCACTGGTGTGGTGAGCACTTGTAGGCTTTGAGAGAGCAGTTGCCAAGGGGGATCCTTCTCCCCTGCCATTACAGTCTGTGTTAGCAGGGCCAGCACCTGCCCTTGCAGGGGAATAACAAAGTGGAAGGAATCCAGAGGGCTCAGAAGTCTGTGCTGGGCAGCACTATTGCATCCTGCCTTGGCTCCTGACCATTCCTGGGTGAAACTGCTGCTGCTCTTTTATATAAGGGTAAAACTCCTGGATGATCGTAAACACAGCCCTGAAGTATCAATTTATTTTTCCCCAGGAAAACAAGAGAGCTGCTAGAACAAACATGACATCAGTTTTGAGTCCCCCCTCCAGCTGCTCAGTTCCTGGTTCCCCACAGTGTGGGCAGCCTGGCTTTGGCTTGTGGCTGGCACCTCTGTGGCACCACCTGTGTGTAGTCAGAGGCATCATCTGCACCTTTCCCACATGCCAAGTTATGCTGCAGTCTCCCTATGGAGTCCACATGACATTTTAACTGATATAGGCAACATATTAGGGATGAAAGGTCTATTTTCTAGATAATTTCCTTCCTCTGGGGATGCCTGCTGACATACCAGACACATATGCCTTTCTTTGGCCTCCCTTTCACCCACATCTCCCACAAATCCTCTCAAACAATTCCTAATGGCTGAGAGCTCACTTAGGCTTAATTCTCATTAATTGTGCAGTGGTGTGAACAGATAAAACCATCCTGCTGGGGTGGGGGTACATGAGAAGGGACAGAGCCGAGCTGCCCTTTCTGCAGCACATTTAACCCACTGAGCAAATGGGAGGTTACAAGAGAGAAGAGGGAATACTTTTTTAAGCCACCAACATAAAAAAAAAAAATTGTATGAGTTAAAAAAAAATAATTTAAAAAGCACTGCCTGTGTTCAACAACAAGCTCTTCACAGGCACGTTCTAGAGCAAAGCTATACTGCAATGCACAGGGCTGCCTTGGATTAAACACCACGTTCACCTGAGTTTGTAAGAGCAAGAAACAACTGAGTGCAAAGGGAAAGACAATTCTCTCCTCATACCTGAGTGGTCTTGTGGATGTAGCGGCGTATGATGTCTCTAATGTTGCTGTTCTTCTCTGTTTGGAAATACACAGTGGCGGTGGATTTTTCCTTTAAATAGGGCTTCTCTGCTGTAATCCATGTGTGGAGCAGAGCCGGCTCGCTGCTGTCAGAAATGGTGGGGAAGTAGGTCCCCGAAGGCAGTGACCCGGCGTCGTTCTGCTTTGGCACGGCTGCCCCGTCCGCACCTGGGCACTCCTGTGCATAGTAGGACTCCCTGGCGTTGTCCTTGATGTACTGAGCTTCCACCGAGGAGAGGAAATCCACCTCACCCTCTCTGCTTAGCGTTTGGAGGTAAGAGTCGGTCCCACCATCCAAGAAGGCGTCGGTGGCCAATCTTATGCTTTCGTTGTGGCTGAAGTCCACTTTTGTCAACTTCGGGGACTGGTTCTTGATATCCTCCAGCCTCTTCCGTATCTTGCCCATATGTCTGGGGTGGTTCATGGCTCTTTGTCGCAGCAGCCGATCTGCCGGGCAGGCACCATGCATATGCGTGCCACAGGCAGTGCAATCGTCCTTCTTGTTTGAGGACTGCATTCTGGCATGAAATCGCCTCGGCTGAACGAATTAACTATGAATAAAAATAAAGAGATCTTATTACCACAGGCAAATTCACACTCCCTGAATTTGTCTGTACAATTATCTTCAAAACGAACCTGACGCTTGCTTCTCAGGTGCTGGTGAACTCCGGCAACAATCTGTTTCCAGATGGGACACAAATGCAAAGCTGATTAGATTGCTTATCTGAGAGGCACCCACCTCAGCCCCAGGGCATACGGAGAATTCGAGTCAAATTTACCACGGCCGTCGGATTCGATTGTATTTCCCTTCCTGTCGCATCCTGTGAAATATGAGTGAGGAAAGCACTCAAGCAAAAGCAGGTAGGCTCCCAAGCATCATTGCACAATCTTCAAAACAGCTTGAGGCATCTCTATCTTCCCATAGTATTCGTTAGGGAGAAAAAACAGCTCGGATGGTGAACTGGAACAGAGACAGCAGCCATGTCCATGGGTTCAGAGCAGCAGAAAGGGTCATGGGCTCTGTTCTGCACCTACATGCTGCCAGGCAGGCTTAAAAATAGATGTGAAGTTCGTCACTGTGCCCCGTCCGGAGTATGTTGCTATTACCATAGACGATTCACTCATTTATTTCTTTAAAGCTTTGTGACTACGCCATCCTATTAAAAGTAAAATACCCCTTCCCAAACATCCTGAATATTACGTGGAGGGAGGGTTGTGAGCTGGCCTCAAAGCATGAGAAATACAAACACTCATCACTTGATTGTGCACATAATTGTATGAGTTATTTTTAGTGATGGTTGTTGGGTTTTTTTTTTTTGGTTTTTTTTTTTTTTTTTTTCCTCCTTCCCAGGCTGCAGCTGCCGGAGTCACGTTGCCCCCGTGGCAGCTCTCTGCTGTGTCATTAGGGGGATGGGGGGCGGGCTGCAGCGGGGTGACAGGCCAGAGCCCGGGGGCAGCCGGGCCGGCCGGTCCGACCGAGGAGAGGCGGGGCGGGCGCACCTGCCCGAGGTGTCCGTGCCTGTGTGCGTGCCTGGCTGCAGCGCCACGCGTGACACATTCCCTCACGGGGGGGGCTGGCCCCGGCAGCGCTGTGCCCGTGCCACGGCTCCAGAGGGACAGCAGCACCGAGGCGATGCGCCCGCCTGGGCTCTTGTGAGGGCTGCCGAGGCCGTGTGCGGGCAGCGAGCGGGTCCCGCCGCCCCAGCCTCGGGAGCACGCGTGTCTTCAGGGACAGTTGTTCAGGGCAGCTTCACAGATTCTGGGGCTATGTCAGGTGTCCTGTGGGGTGGGGGGAAGAAAAAATTCATACGTAAAGATGAGACAAAGATGTACGAAACGCACAAGAGTATGAAATGGCTCGGATATGAATCCCGGAGCGACCACGTGGGGCCGAGTAGGGGCGGTGGCGGGGCCGTGCTGAGCGCTGGGGTGATTTTAAAACCTACCCCGACCCTCCCTCCGCCCCCAACATCCGCCCGCAGCTGCCAGACGCGGCCGAAAGTCACTAATTATCTCCTGACCTGTTCTGCGCAATTAGGCCGAAAATGATGCCATCTAATTACCCTGACATGCAGGATTGAGCCCTGCCAATGCCGATCGGGGCCAGGGACGGCCCTCCTCTCCTCGGCCGGGAATTCTCATGGCCACCCCTGTGTCCCTCAGGGTCACCCTGGTCCCCCACGTGGGCACGGCGGGGCTCCTCACAGGTTATACTGTGGTGCCTCACACTGCCACCCCACATGATCGCTCCGTGTCCCCGCACGGCCAGCACAGGACCCGGCCCGGTGGGAGCGGTGTGGGCGGACGAGGGGCCGGGCCGGGCCGTGCCGTGTCCTCCCGTGGCCCCGGCGGAGAGCGAGGCCGGCGGCAGGACCGAGAGCCCTCACGAAGAGGTTGCTTTCAGCCGCCTCGTTAGCGCAGTAGGTAGCGCGTCAGTCTCATAATCTGAAGGTCGTGAGTTCGATCCTCACACGGGGCAAAGGCGGGCAGTACTTTTGCTTTCGGCCGCCTCCCCAGCGCTTTTAGCCGCGACAGACCCGCACGACACCGCGCTCCGAGCCGCTCGGGGACCTCCAGGCCGAGCCTGTCGTGATTTCCGAAGCGGCGGTTGCAGGTCAAGGGCCCACCTCTGCAGGCGCTGGGCTCGCTGGGTAGCTTGTGCAGTTGTTGTATCTTTGGCAGCGATGTTCAGCCCCTGGGCTGTGTGCGAGCCCGTGCAGGGATGTGGGGACGGGGAATGGCTCCCGCGGTGGCAGTGGGCACACCCGAGGTCAGGGTGTGCTCAGGGGCAGGTTTTACAAACCATAAGCACATACACATACAGCCAATGGTGCAGGCCAAAACCTCAGTGGGTTTATTATTTCCCTTTAAATATCCAAAATGATTGTATGTAAACTCCAAGAAAAATACAGTTTTTGTCATCTACTCCCTCTGCCTCCGAGATGATCCTGGCTTGTTGCATTTTTCTCCCTTTGAAAAGGAATGATGCCTCTTCTCCACACTCTGCTGAGGGCTGCAGTGGGATTTCCATGGATCCTGGCTGCTGCTAATATGACTCTTTCTACTTCCAGATGCAGAGGATGTTAAGGCAAGGAAAACCAAGTACCTTTGTGCTGTTAGGTTTTCATGTAATTTAACGAGAAGCAGAGGCTGTTCCCGCCCCAGGTGACAGAAAGCTGCTGGTTAGAGGTACCATCCTGGGTCTGCCCGGTGCCTCAGCCCCCAGGGCCAGCACGAGCAGGGCTGCTCCCATAGTGCTGCCCCAAAGAGCATCAGCAAAACCCCAGGGGAAGCAGAACAAATTAAGATTCCAGTCCTCATATTTTCACAGGGCCAAGTCTACCCCTGTATCAGCACTGTGTGTAGCAATTATGGATGATTCACTTTAATTTACTTTGCCCTATTCCTTTTTACTGTAACACCACGTAATGTTCTTGACTTGGGTCAAAAGCATTAGCCATCAGTACCACAAACACTATGAAGAGCAAGGTATTTGTTTAGATCCTCTCTCCCATTCTTTCTCGTGAAATGAACTTGCTAATATGTGTAACAACTACATGCCTCTCCAGCAGGTGCTCCACACCTCTCTGGGCCTTGGTTTCAATGTTTGGCTCTCGCTGGAAAGGATTCTTTTCTCTGATTGCAAATTTCCCTGCTGCAACTTGTAGAATCCACTTCCACATCACTGACAAAACCACCATTTTGAACAGTGGTTTGTTTCCGCAAGTATACAAATACTGCGCACTCAGCAACTTGATGGTAAAAAATGAGTTTATTTTATAAATAAAAAATAACAAGAAGGTTACAAACAAAAGACACATTTTCTAGCTAGGATTTTTTTCTTATATAAAAATATCTCCAAAAGCCTTCAATAAGTCTACGGTCCCTCCTGGATCACACTATACATATTTAGCTTTTCACTGATTAATAATTTGAAAGTGCAGCTAAAGTGCAGAGCAAATCATCTCAAGGTGACCACGCTGTAGCTGGGGAACGAGCTGGAGGGTGCCTGGCCTGGGCCCGTGAGGTGAGCCTTCGTCTGAGCCGCCAGACTTCTGCCATCAGCTCCCGCTCCTGGCGTGCCAGTTCTGCTCGTCTGCTGGCTAAAGACAACGAAGTGCAAGAAACTTAACACTGCAACTAGTGGTTTTCCATAAACACTACAAATACCCATTGGAAAACAGACATCTCTGGCAGAGAAATGCTGGTTTTCAGTACCACTGGATGTGAGGCAGCCCTCAGACTGGTAAGAGCAAGTTCTTTGAAAGCAGTGCCTCTGTTGGCTACCAGGTCAGATGCTAATGGGGGCTACAGCAGGTCCAGAGGTTCCCATTGCCTGCAGGCTTTTGTACATAAGGTGCACTGGAATTTAAAACTGCTTTCACTGCCAGAGTAGCTAGGACAGACCAGAGGAAATTAGACTTACTCTTGACTATAACTCCCAGTCAGATTTTTATGAAAGAGCTCTACAGCCTCTCAACATTCCCAAATCATAAACAGCTATGAAGACAGGAAATGCATGTGCAAGATGATCAGGTCAGAATGCAACTAAACTAGGCTGAGGTTTACTAGGACCACTCTCATAATGTGACACACTTCAGGCACTTCTTACCTGCACCATCCCTGGGAGCAAAGACATTTTCTGCAGGTGTGAAAGAGAACACAACAATAAACTGGTTTACTATCCACTAAACACCTACACAACTAATGACTCAATCCCACAGCCGGGCGTTCCAGCAATGCTCTGAAACTAAATGTGAAAGAGACTCCTAACTTAAAAACTTACTGTGTGGTGATGATGCTAATGTAGACAAATCGTTGAGACAGATGCTTCCAGACCTTGGCATCTGCTGGACATCTATCCCCCTCTCTGTACACCTGGCCTTGAAATCGTGCAGTCTCTCTGTGGCAAATGGAAAGTAGGGTCCTTTGTAAATTAAAAATATTGAAGTTTCTAGTGAATTTTTCTAGCTGGAGGTAAAACAGTTTTTTGTCCAGGAAGCAAAGCTAGAACAATCACCCACTCCATTTAATGGCAAGTACAATTTGCTCAGAATTAGAGGTCAATGTTTCTCCTCTCCGGGTCAAAGCTATGCATCACAGCATTTCATTTTAAGGAATTACACCTCTGTAATTTCATTAATTTCTTAAAATTCCCTTTAAGAAATTGCAACTCTTTAAGAAATTACATGTGCTGTTTCTTCCTGTATAATTAATCTTCTGACAAACAGGCCACTAAGATCATATGGAATATGGCTACTCATGCTTGTAGTTTTAGGAGCCACCCATTTTAATTATGCGCAGTTGCAAAATATTCCATACTAAAACATTAGGTAAATAAGGACAAAGGCTAAAAAAGTTTGCCCAAAGCAATACTAATCACCTAACCCTAATATTAATCAATGATTTTATGCAAGCCTTGGAAGCATGGTGGGGGGGGTAGGAGAAATACCTGCAAAAACACACAAATGCAGCACTTGAGAAGGATGTACTGACCAACTCCGGAAGCACGTAAATGTGTTGGGGTTTGTTTGTTTGTTTTTTTAACAAACTTACTAGTATATAAAAGCACTTACTGGTATAATACTGTATGTCAGTATTATACCACTTCTTGGTATAATACTGTATGTCACTGGACAACATTATTTGACAGAAAATTTCTAATGGATGTGATTTTACAATTGTTTTAAGATGAGCTAGACCTGTGCTCCTACCAAAATGCCATTTATATTGCTGCATTTGATAGGTATCAAACTGAGCTTTCTTTCTAAGTCTGGCCTTGGAAAACAGATACATTTGTTTAATGAAAGAATACAGCCAAAAAGTACTTATGGAGTGCTTAATAAAGGATTTATGCTTAAGTTTATCCCCAATATTGGACAATTCCTTTGTATTCAGTCATTTGAATGCTTCATGCCAACATCCACACAGAACTGTGTTATCTACATGCTCACCAAAACAGCCATCTTCCCTCTGCAGCTTCTCAGCCAATTCTAACTCATCATTCATTTTGTCATCTAAGAACTGCTTCCTGTGCCCATCTGCAGCAGCAGCCGCCTTCTGCTCTTCCTCCAGTTGAGCTTTATTCTGTACAACATCTTCCTGCTGTGCAACAGAGATAGTAAATGTCTTCAACAGATGTGTTGCAAGGAAAAACCAACAAACAGAACCATCTGCATTATTACAGATTACACTTCACCCTAAAATCAAAATATGGTAGTCAGCTGTGTGAAGGTTTCATTTTGAAAAATGTCTCATTCAAACATCTGGAGAAAAGTAGAAGTCTTGGGTCAGAGAATAAAAATGAAAGGAACTTACAGAAATAGGAATATGCTTTCCTAAGGCTAAAACATCCTTACCAATTCACTCTTGTGCTTCCAGAAACTCCCAGTCAAAACAGAAAAGGAGAATTCTAACAAAATATTTCTCTAACATATTTCAGCTTTCTGCACTCCCTGTTATAGTCGGTTACATTTTTGCCAGGCCCACTTAGAAAAAGAAATTATGCAAATACCTTTTTTCCTTCTGTCTCCCTCATGGCCTTCAGCAGTTCAGCTTCTTTCACCCTGTTGTCATGCAGGAGCTTGACAATCTCTCTGTAGTGCCTCACCCGGTCCTGGTCATCGCGCCCGGGTCTCCGCTGAGGGTGCAGCCTCCCGTCGGTGTCGGTGTGCTTCTGCTCAGCTCTGGCTAAATTTTCTTCAGCCACCTAACAAAACATCTTTCTTACCAGAAATCCAGTCTATTCCAACTGCACAGCCTTACCTACAGACCAGGCAAGACAAACTGAGGTGTCTCCAGGATCCCTGTCAGATGTCCCTGCTAGGGCCACTAGCTGTGCTAACAGGTGCAGCTGACATAAGATTGATACCTGAATGCCAATACTTTCACCCACATCCATCTGCTTCCAAAAATCAAATGCTGTTTACAAAAATTCAGACCCATATGTTTATTTCTAGACAATTCACAAATGCAGATGCCAAGCATATGGGCAGTGGGATAGCTGCAACTATTTTTCCAACTGTGCAGTTACAAGTTCTGAGCTTGAAAATCTGAGCAATTCCTAATGTCAAGCTACACACATTCATTACTGCAATCTAGAAGACAGCTTCTATAGCTGAATTGCCTGCCAAGTACTACCAACTGAAATCTCCTTTGAGGCTATCTTTTATTTTGTTATGGTTACAAACAAAACATGTTCCTTATCAGGAGGATGACTTGTTTTGAAAAGCACTTTTGAGTCTTACATGCTTTCTAAGTTTTGAGAAGTAAAAAATAAAAGCTATTATTTCTGGCAGGTCCAGAGAATTTCAATATTATACAGCTGTTGGGCAATTCCGTCAGATTTTTGGAAATCTCAAAACTTTAAGCACAGAATCCTAATCTATTAATATAGGTATCTATAAATTAGATTTCTGTAGAAAATATTTCCATATGAACTTGAACTAGTTAATTACAGTCAAAATACTATTAGCCAGTACTACTTGTATAAGTTAGCATATTGACTCTCCAGAACACATGTTAAGATCCAATTATCTTACTGTATGAAGTTTCTGTATTTCTTTATCTATTTCTGTCAATCTCTGAACACGTTGATCTTCCAGATCCATCTTTCTTCGATGGGCTTCCATCTCTTCTTTCATTTCCTTTGTAACTGCCTCTTGGTCTTTGATTAGATGCTGCCAAGCACACAAACAAAAATTATGGTTGCTAAGCTACCAGCTCACATTGGTAATTCCATCTCTTTAACATTTATTAAAATTTCATTAAACTAGTATTTGAATATAACCACACATCTCATCCCACTGCATATCATAACTGTCCAAAAAAGTCATAGACCCTGCTGTTTTATCCACTTGGAATTAGATGAAGCATGAGTCATAACAGTGGCCTGAGTCATGACAAGGGATGTAATTCCACTCTCCAGATTACTGTGGAGAATAAAATCAGAATTCCAAACTAAATGAACTAGATTCATCATGAAAACATTCTGCAATTTATGGCAAATTTTAGCCCAAACCTCAAAATGTTTCATAACTATAAAGTGTGTTTCAGGGCACTGGGATTTGTAGTAAACACATCTGCAGCTTGAACGCAGAGATGATTTGCCCAAGCAGTACAACCCAGCAGCAGATCTAGAAACAGCATTTCAGCTTACCACCTTTTCTTCACATTCACCAGGGCACATCTACACAATTTTCTGCAAAAGTTAAAACCCCTTCCCAGGCCTGTAGGAATCTACTGAGCAGCTGAGGCAAAGTCAACATCCTTTGAAGCTGGAGTAGGGACCCTGGCTGACGGCAGCAAACAGTGCAAAGCCTCTCTGCACAGACTCTTGTGGGCAAACAGAGATCCTCAGCTAGTTAAATAATTGCTACCTTTCTAGCCTAGAGAGGATGATCACTGTAGAATTAGTTCCTTAGAGAGCTGACTTTACATGTACTGGAATACAAATGAGCTTAGCCTGGTTTGTGTAAATGTAGCCACAATACAGTTGGCTGTGTATTGAATAAATAAATGCTAACAGAAATTTGGCCCAGTTAAGCTCAATATGGATTATAACAAGTTTATGACCAAAAGCTTTAAAAAACCCAAATAAAAAATGACAAGTTTCAAAATGAGGGTCAGAGAGCTGGATGTCTACTTCTCCTTTATTCCACTGGATCTACACAAACTCAAGATGGGTACATGTAGCTTTGATTTCTAAACACTTAACTGAGTATTTTAACCAAAATGAACATTTCTAAAGACTTCCATTGGCATCCTTGCTTTGCAGTAATTTATAATAATTATTTACAATAATTAACTGAAATTTAACTTTTAAACAGAATTACTGATTAAAGCTATTTATAACTGAATAGCCATATTTCTGAATAAATCAGTCATTTCAGAAAGGAACTGCACATTCCTGATGAACCATCCACTGCTTTTTGCTTAATGATGTTGTTGGCAACTAGACATTTTTTCATCACCTACATCAATCTGCTATACTGTTCTCTCCAGAAAATGCAGATATGTCTGGATATCACAGATGAAAAGGTGGGAGTTTCTGGATGAGGAACACATTGTTATACACTTATTTCTTATTTACATGTTCCTCACTTCCCTCAAGCAGTTGAGCCCAAAACTAAACCCTCCAGCAACCAAATGATACCTCAGCAGAGGAAAATAAAATGGGGAGGATATGACTTTTTCAGCCAAAACTCCCCCAGATAACAGTGAATTGTGTTATTGCTTTTACAACATGGGATTTATTCTAAAAAAAAGTCATTAAAGACAAAAAAGAGGAAAATTCCAGGCCCCCATTTCTCCTCACAAGGAGTGGTTGCATGAACACAATCAAATCCAAGAACTTCAAATGAACAACCATTAAATACTTGTATTTAGTATAGTTCCCAATATATAAATAATTACCTGTTCAAAAAGCTGTTTCTGTGATTCAGGTTCTATAACTTGGATAGCATTTGTTTCCTGCTGTCTCATAGATGCCTTGTGGAGAAGAGAAACACATGAAAATACAGTAAAGAAATTCTTCTGCTTTAAAAAAAAAAAACATTATCAAAAAGAATGTCCAAACCCTCACACTCCTAAGTTCTGGTTAATTTTCTGTCATGTGAAGAATGAAAAATACTGCACAACAAAAGCACAGGGCAAGGTGGAGAAGAGGCATGGAAGAGTTTTGCATCCAGCCACGCTATGTTAGGGAAATACCAGTCTTGAACTGATGTTAAAAGCCTGCCACATGCAGCTCTGAATTGAGTAAGGAGTCCCTGAAGCCAGAATGCTGTGGAGGACAGGAGGCAGAAGGGGAAGTGGCTGCTTTGCACCTGGCAGAACCTGTGCTGAGCTGGAGCTAAGGTGTGTTACTGTGCCCTGACTGCAGAAGCAGCCACCCCCAGCTTCACTGTGCTCTGCAAAGGAACAGCCTGCAAAGGCTCAGTATGTGCCCATGAGATGCAAAACCTTCCATTCTCAGCACCATTCTCATGGCACAACTGCATGCCACAGTGCCCAGCTTAGTGATTCGGAAGCAGGGCCAAGCCTGGCCAGAGGCCACTGTGGAGCCTCTCAATCAATGGCAGAGTTAATTTGCAATTTGGACATACAGCCTACAGACAGCTGAGAATTCACTAGTCCTTTAAGGAGCTCATTACATTTTTCAACACTGCCACTAACTGCTAAATAATGCATTTACCATTTGAAGCAGTCTGCCTCATGCTAAAGACACCTCTGGGCTCACAGTATATCAACTAAAATTTTAGTTATGCCTTTTTTCCTTGTTTATTTTCCCTATTAAACCTTGCAGAAAATAATAGCTTGAGCAATACTCAACCTTTCTTGCAATTTCGTCATTGAGACGTTTCAGTTCCATTTGAACCTGATCTTGCTGGTAGTTCAGAAAACGCCTTCTTGAAGCATCTAAAAGTTGCAGTTCCTTTACTTTCAGTTCTCTTTTCACAACAGCAAGCCTTCGAGGCCAAAATAAACAGAAATAAACAAATAACAGAAATAATACCGTGTATATATAAAAGGTCAGTACCAAAGAGCACAAACACACAATGTAGTTAGCCATTAATCACTATGAGCTCATCTCCACCTTAACAAAGCTTAGGATGGCTGCTTTCTTTCCTGTAAAATGTCCAGTTTTCATTTATGAGAAAAATTAAATTCACAGACACACATCTTCTAATGGCAATATCTCCAGTTAAGCTTTGAAGTCTGTGCCCTGTTTCTGCTCCATTTTAATAAGTACTAGTTTAATGTGGCAAGGATCTAAAACTGGAAACTATTCCTTAGACTAACTGCCAGTGTCCTGGTACCTCTTGCTGCACAAAATTAGTCCCAAATTTATCCTGTGCCCTGTTTCTGCTCCATTTTAATAAGTACTAGTTTAATGTGGCAAGGATCCAAAACTGGAAACTATTCCTTAGAATAACTGCCAGTGTCTGGTACCTCTTGCTGCACAATATTAGTCCCAAATTTATTTGGTAAATATCAAACTCTTTCAAGGAACAAAACCACAAACTCAAGGATTAGTTTGTAAATAAAGGCTTGCTGTTCCTCTTAAAAAAAAACAACAAACCACCAACTCTGCAGGTTACAGAGGTTTAGGACATGTGCTCAAAACCTGGTGGTTAGGGACAGGGTTTAGTGGTGAACTTGTCAGTGCTGGGTTAACCATTACACTTGATGATCTTAAAGGTAATTCCCCACTTAAATGATTCCAGGATTACCTGTAGTTCATCTAAGAAATTATGGAGATGTTGAAATTCTCTTAAGCCTTCACAGCCACAAAATATACAGACTTACGGTTCAGCTTCATTATATCACACCTCTTTGCTTATAAACTGATACACAAAGCAGTTGTTTTTCCAGATCCACTAGAAGTGTAAGACTGTGTACAGTCACTGATCCTATAAGCGACTCTTGTATCTGCAGTGTGGGTCTGCCCACAATGCAAGTCTGAAGTCTCAGTGTGCAGACACACAGCAATTGACTGTTTAAGACACTTCCCAATCTGAAGGAACCAGAAAAATGGCTGGGAGCTGACACAAGAATATGAAGTGACTTGACCTCTAATCTGCTGTATTCCCTCCAGGGAATAGGCAAGGTAGTAACACAACCCAGATCGCTTAATTCCCACACCAAAATATGACCCACCAGACCACAGTTATCCCACATTACAATTTATACAAATTAGTGGTTATTTCTCCTTTACTCATGGTTAAAAATGTAATAGAAGGCTACAGTAGCCAGACCCCTAATGCTTCCTGTATTCTAATACCTCTGTCTCTGCTCTGCCAACTTCTCTTCTTCCAGTAGGATTTTTTGTCTCTGTTCTTCAGCTTCTTGAAGTAATTTCTGCTTTCGATACCAGGCTTCATCTTCTGCTTTCTGTTCCTGTGCTTTGGCTTCAGATTCATGTGCTAATTGTCTACATGGAAGGAGGTCACACGTTAATCATTCAAACCAGATATCAAGAAATTACTTGATTATTTTGAAATTGATGACAGTTCTAGCAAAGAGCTGCTGAAACGAGATGACATAAAAGAATATGGCATTGTAGTGACGAAGTACATGAGGAAGAGGTACCACATTGACTGTTACAGACAACAGGCATTACAGATGAGTGCAGGTACTTTCTTCCCACATTCTTAACAAAAACTGGTTTCTAAGGATGCCTTGGCATCATGGTACCCACTGATTTCAATAGCAAGCTAAGAACTCCTGGCCCTTCAAACCTTGAGGCCCACAAGGTCAACAGAGGTTTAGGCTCTAGCTATGAGCTTCCAAGTTCAGTGACTTGTGGCCCGATATCTTCTGCTAATTAGCAGGCATTTTTTATTTAAGATAAGACTAATGATTTAAGTAAAAACATGTAAAACCAAGTAACTGTCAACCTTTAGCAGCTATTTCAAGTGCTTTTCCTGAATTTTCTTATCTCTCTTCTCAAGACTACACATTACAACATACAAAGCCAATTATTCCACCTGTACTTCCCAGTCTGAGACCGTCTTCAATTTCTCACTCATACCTCTCTCGCAAGTATTCAATTTCATCCTGTCTGATCTTCTCCCATTTCTGAGCTTGATAATTCACAACGAACGTGGGATATTTATTAAACACAGGGTACTGTCCTTTTGTAAGTGGTGTGAAGTCATCAAGCATATGCTGTGGATGGATTTCCAGAGGTGTAGCCTCCATAAGATGATAGGCTTCCTTAATCACAACATTAATGTCCACGTTGTTACGATGATGAAAGAAATACTGTAAGAGACATGCTGCCATTTACATTCTACACAAGATTATGCACTTTTTCACATAAATATATATTTATTTTTAAAATACATATTTGGGAATTATCATGAAAATTACCAAGACCTATATTTCAATAGTTAATTTAAAAAGTTTTTAAAGTTTTCCCTACCAATTCTTAAAACATCACCAGCTCAAGTGACTTGAGCCAAACTTCTTCAATGTGGGAAAGGATGCTGTGGTTCTTTTCCTTCTCTTCAAATGGCAGCTGTGTAAGGGATTTGGGAAGCTGGGTGTCAATTTAGAGTGTCCAACAGTGACTCCCTACCACTGGATAAACCTGCCTTGACTTTCAGTCTTCAGCCATGAAGGTCAGAAATTTCTCTTCTTGCAGGACTATTCTTCCTGTCAAAGATCTTATCCACCAAGAAAATCCCTAAATGGTCATTATTAAACATAGCAATAATGTTATCTGCTTGATGTCAGTCAAATTGGCTGCTCATAAGGACATTTTAGAGGTGGAACTCTTTGTTTGCCTACAGAGATATTTTCATAAGAAAAAGAATCCTCTTCCCATGGAACATTAAACATAAGGAAACATTTTAATATAGCTTCAGAGAACATCCAATAATACTACCTAATTTTGAAAATCTGACAAGAGGATAATGAAACAACATCACAGAATTATTGTGTATCATCTCCAGAGGCAGAAGTCCATACCAGATCCTCAAAAAAGAGACAGAATTATTTTGTGCTTGATGAACTATTGAAATTTTAAAAATGGCCTTTAGGGACATTAGAAAGCTTACAAAAGCTTTTAAAGTTCTTCTTGCATGAAACTGCAGGAAACTGCTCAATATTTTACTCATTTATTTTGTATTTGTCAATTACCAGATATTAATTTGGAAATGGACCTCCTTGTAACCTAACAACAGATACATAGTTTCATACATCTTTTCCACATGACTGACTGAAATATGAAAATGTTTACCTCAAAATCTGCTGCTTGATTACAGTGGAGCAAGGAAGCTCTGGAACATATAACATAGGCAACGACAATCATTAGAAAGTATGAAGGATGGTTGGAGAAAATATTGTCAAAGGCTTTCAGCCATTCTTCTCTTGTTAGAACCTCAGATAATAGTGTTTCTAGGAGAGGCCAAGCATAAACCTGAATTATTTGGGAAAATTGACAAAATAATCCATTAGTACAATTTTACCATTCCTTTTAAAGAAATAATATGATTTTTCTTCCCTTATATCAAGAATCTACTAATTTATGAAAAAGGAAATAAACAGAACATTTCAAGATAAGTTTCACCACCTACTCTAAACATTCAAAGTTAATCTGGGCTGATTACAAATACATTTCTTATTTCACTGGATGTCTAAATGTTCTGTTTATATTTGTAAAGTTAAAATCATCCCTAATGATAAACAGGGATTAGAAAATTAATTCATCACACTTATGTCCATGTTAAAAAAAGGTACATTTATAATTTGATGAGTAGATTTTTAAGCAATCTGGACTTGAAAGCAAAGAACTTCTAAAGAACTAAAGTAGCATACACATGATAATGGACAAGGAAAAACAATAGGAAATCAACGATATATTCTTTACATTCCCGCATAATTCACTGTTATTTAATGAAAACTCCCCCAAACTAGAAATACATAAAAATAAAAGACCAGTGCACTATTATTCACTGCAGTATATTTTTGTATACAAAAGCTGTCTAGACTATTACCTGTGAAGTCACATTGTATTTTATTAAATGCTGAAGTAGTTCTTTGTCATGATGTGCCAAAACATTTTCCATCATACCAAGGATATTAACTGGAGGATTGGGAAAGTACTCAAACCAGTGTTGACAAAAATTAACTGAAAGAGAACAAGAAGCTGAACACAATCCACTGCAATCCAGAGCAAAAGACTCATGACAACCTTGAAGTTGTGTTATCAAGCTGATGCATTTAAGATGTTGTTTCAGGCAGCAAAACCTATTTAAGATACTCCCATCTCCTGTGAGTATTCCTAAACCATTCCCACAGTACACTGCTCCTCCAGCTGCACTGGCATGAGTTTTTGTGTCAGTACACTGTGAACCAGACTGAAGAAGTGATCTGGCTCAAATACAAAGTGAAAAAAAAAATCTGTGAGCTGTGGGAATAAGGCATGGGAGGCAGATGGGAATACTTAAATCAATGTTGCTGTCTCACAAAACTGCAGCCTGCATCAAGTAATTTTTAACATACTAAGAATAATTTCTGTAAACTTGGATACTTATTCACCAACAGCATGTGGTTGCAAAGTGGGCATGTGTGCTTGGCAGCACATACCTTCTGTAGACTTAGCAGCAGCTGCAACAACTAATTTAAGTGTAAAGCACTTTAATTTAGAATGTTTCTTCAGAAGACTGCCACAGCCAGTGTTCAGACAAATGTCTAGTTTTGAGTTACCACATGCTCAAGACAACTAAACAGAGTTTAGTTGAGAGAGATCATTCAAACCTTGAAAGAGATCATTCTCTGCTGGCTGGGAGCAGGTGACAGGTGGGGTGGGTGGCTGTGACTACTTTTCCCATGTCTCAGACACTTAATTATTATTATATAATTACACTAGATACATATGGTTTGCAAATGCTAGATACATTTCAATTAGACTTTAGAAACACTGTTAGAACTGCTAACTTTTTGCTATAAACACTGCAAAATGAAGTCTCATATTTTGAGGTTTTTGTTTAAAACTCTATTAATTCCTGGTAACACCATGGTGACCTATAAATAAGGAAATACCTTAGTCATTTCAGCAGGAAAAGCTCTTTTGCTTTGGGAAGCTTAAACATGTTGAAGCATATCTGAGTTTTTTAAATCGTTGCTTACCTACTACTGTAGCAACAACTTCAAAGCAGATCAGCTGGTTGTTCTGGAATAATTTTACAAATGGGAATGCCAGCAAAGGCATGTAAGGTGTCTCAGCAAAGATAGCAGACCAGTGAGCTAGAGCTGACAAGGTCCTGTACAGAGGCAAACCAAAAAATGTTGTGTAGGAAACATTGATCCAAAACCAAACAAAAATATAGCATGTATTTTACAACTACAATATGGAAAGATTGTGAACTTCAAGACAGATACAGGATTGTATGAGTGACCAAAGCAAAACTGCATGAGGGCACTACTATGTCATTTTAGAATTTTTCTTACAGCTGCTTCCAGCTACTGGATACATTTCAGATGACTATATGAAAATAAAAATCTGTAATATTTTAAATAAATACAAATATATATTTTACCTCTGTAGAACTCTCAGCAGTTTCCCACTTTTGATGGGATACTCTTTCTGAATATTTATGAAGGCACTGTGGATTCCCCTATCTATCAGGCTACTGAATGCCAAGTGGTTTTCAGGAAGTTGTAATAAGGAACGCCAAACAAACATCCTGCAATTAAAATGCAGCCTTAGTCAAGGAAATTCTTTTTCATAGGCCAGTAAACACAAGCAATTTTATTTTGTGCAAGCATGAACATGCACACAAAAAACACCTGTACTTAGCTGGATATTCTCCAAATCCTTTCAGTAAGGCCTGCAGACGTTTCTTGTTTAATCCACCTGGCAATTCATTCTACAAAACAGGAGATCAACAACAAATGTAACCATTTTCTCTTTCTTTGCCTCTAATTGATGAGAGTGGCTAAATATTGAAGTTTATCACATAGTGTCAAAGAAAAAAATCAAACATGTATTGCTGTCTGCTACATAGTCCTGGGAACTTCACAACAGCAAAAAGGTCATTTAATAATCATTTATTGTCTCCTGAACTCAAACAGCTGCCATTGATTTCAGTCAGAAGCAGATCAAATCAGACCCAAACTGAGACTGAACTATGTACAATTAAATGACGGATATAGCAAACCATAAAGAATACTAACATAAGAAACAGATCATATGGTGACACATAAACAGAAATATATATATACATAAAAGGCACAAGATAAAGACAGAGAAGATGGCACCATCATGTCAGAAGGGAATAAATGTAACAGTAATTCATCTTCTAAATAATTAAGAAAAAAAAAGGAAATGGATTCTAGGCAGACATTTTAGATGTGCCAGTTGGCTTTCTGTAGGGAAGCAGATCAGATCTAGCAAATACCAAATGTGTCACAAGTTGCTTGAACAACTGCAGAGGTACCCCAGACTGGAGGCAGCTCTGGCTGTGTCACATACTGTAGGAGTATGGACTAAATAGAGAGAGAAAATGGTACTAAAATTTCCTTAATCTCTGCTCTGCTCAAATATACAAGTGCTTCAGTGCCTGAATTTATTTTTTAAAGCAAATGGCAATGAAATATAAACACTGCAGACTGAAGGACAAAATATTTGCAATTTCTTCCTACCTCTTTATTTTCAAGTGATGTATTTGCTTGTAGTTTTAGCAATCTGCTTTGAATTTTTCTTTGGTTGGATTTCCATGGCCGTTTTGACCTTCCTGAAGTCACTTTTGTGATCAGTTTATTTGCCTCTGGTGTGTACTTGGGCCCATCTTCTACAACTCTGAACATGAATGGTGGAGGCTAGTATTAAGTACAAATACCTTGGTTAAAATCTTGTAAAACAGATTACACAGAAATATAATTTGTTGTTTATTTTATATGCCACATTTTTGAGTCTGATGGCCATAAAAAGACTAGAAACACATTTATACTATAAATAAACAGATATAAATTGTATACTCCTGGAAAATGATGTCCACAAATAAAACTGCTCTAACTATGGGAAGATTTATGTAGCTTCCAAGGTAACTCAAACATCATGTTATTTCTTTGCTTAGCAAACAGTAAAAATATAATTGGGATACTGTAGATGTGTATCATGTACTGTTCAGGTTATTTACTTTAGTGTGTTTCTCAACGTCATTAAAATATTTTGCATTTCTATAGGACCAGTTAAAAGAATACAGAAGACCTTTACAAACTTTAATTAGTCTTCAGTGTCAAGCAGGTATTAATTAATTCAATGCTGGAGATTGTGAAAGCAAGTGACAAAGTGGATATCCCAGTTCATGTCAAACCGTCAGCAAAAGTGCAAATGGAATGTGTGTGACATCTTTACACATCCTTCCTCAGCTCCAGCTCCATCATTATCCAGAGCTGGTTACTGTTTACTTCAAAGACATGGTGATAAAGATATATGGAATTCTGTATTTAGAAACCTGACTCCTATTAATAAATTAATGTAATAAAATAAGAACTGGTATTTAGAATGTTTGTCATTTAGGAAGGATTAGGAGTGTATGATTGTGCTGTAAATGATGGGTGCTGGTATCCAATAACACAGTAAGAAGAACAAAATCACAGTAGCAAAAACACCATTCATGCCCACAGCTTAAGAGAACATTAGTTGCAAAATATTTCCTATAGGAAATGGAACAGAAGAGGCACAATTATTCTGTTTCCATTTCCTCCAAAACACCATTACAAAAAGAAATTGATGCACACAAATTGCTGTAGAAAGAAATACCATTTCCCCCTTCCAGCACTAGTAACATGGTCATATATATACACCTTAAAAACACCAAATTACCTGACAGGCTGGAGGAACTATGAAGGAAACTATACAAATCACTTTTTCTTTATTGTATTGTTAAATATGGCACCTCTGCAAACTACTGCTGATGCAAAACATATGCAGACAAATATCATCTTTAAGAGGACTAACTGCTATTTTAAGAAATGTAAAATACCTTATTTCCTTCTTGAGTCAAAGCTTGGACACTGTATAAGTTAAGGCTTCCATTTTCCATTACTGAGGCAATGTACCGTCCATTTGGGCTAATCACTGCTGTACTAATTCCCTCTTCAGGACTCCCAATGTCAAAAAGGAGTTTGCATGTTTCTATATTGATAAATCTCATAATATTGTCTTGACTTAACACTCCAAGGACCTACAAGTGAAAAGGATTCATCCATTAATACTGCCAGTGTAAAACAAAGTGGAATACCTGGAATACCCAATTCAGCAAGGACATTCCATTAAGCTGAAGGAGCAAAGATTCAGCACAGTAACTTTCCTTTTGTATCATATACCCCTATACCCACAGAGTCTCCCAAAAGCCCTCCAAGTGCAGGTGTTGAATCCACTACCCAAATACTTCTGTCTTAAGCTTTATGAAAAAACTGACCTGATTGGAGCCCCCATCAAAACTGTCAGGGAGGAATTCCAGGTGACGGACAGCTCGCACTTTCTCTGGCATCTGGATTATTCTTATCAACTGCTTTAATTCCAAACACCATAAGTGAAGATGATTTGATTTCCCACCAGCTACCAAAGTCCGACCATCCCTGGATCACAGAGAAAGCTTCCATCAGCATACTATAATTTAAATTAGTGTTAGCTAAAAAGAGAGATTGTTCATTTTGTTCCATGCCCTCAAATCACTTTTGAGTCAGCCGTTATTCCTGTGATGCTCTCCCAAAAGAACAAAATATCTCCTAAGTAATAAAATTTGCTTTACTAAAGGACAGGATAAAATAAAGGATATTATAAAATAAAGTTTAAACCTTATTTTAGTGATCACTAAAAATCAACCTAATTTATTTCAACTGTTAGGGGACTGTAATAAAAACTGCTACTGATCCTTGGTGAAAGTATCAGTCACAGCAGAGTTCAAAAGCTTATCATAGTAGATAGCTTAATACTTCCACAAAACATTACAAATAAAGAAAGAGAACTTGTTTAAAACCATAGTTTTTATAGTCTACCTTTAGAATGTTTAAAATAGCAATTTACCTGGTAACAGCAAACACCTTATAAAATAATACAGAACCTTCTACAGGAGCTGACAACTGGTATTTACAGTGAAGAGTATCGAATTCCCATGCAAAAACAGAATTATCTTTGAAACAGCTGAGAATGGTGTTACTCAATGGAAGAAAAAAAACCTGGAAGAATATGGAAAAGAAAAAGAAATGGGATGTTGTCAAGGAAGTACATTTTAAATTACCAACATGCATGGCAAAATAAAATATGGCAGGTGTGGCTATTACTATTACTATTCTCCATTACAGCCTAGAGAAGTGTAGGTGTGCTCTCCTTGCACTGGTTAAAATGTGTGGTACCCCTTGCTAAGCCAGTTTAACTCACTGAAATAATTTAAATTTTATCTGTCTTGTTTTTATGACTGTTAAACTTTATTGTTTCCGATGAGTGCAGCGAGGACGCAATATAAACACTGGGGACATCACTGGCTGAGATTATGTCAGTGCTATAAAGTTTGTAGTTTTGGTCTGAATGATCTCTTGGGCCCTTGAAAATCTGGAAATCTGGATATGTGGGCTGGGTTTCATCTTAGTGACTGAAAATTGGACATTCAGGCCAAATGAGTCACTTGACAGTGAGCAAAAGTAACCTGTGGGGAAAAGAGTCATCTCAGCTACCAGAGTAATTTATCTTCAGACAGACTGAGCTGTCTGTCCTCCTTCAGGGTCCCTGAGGAAGACTAGACAAAGAATTGAGAGCAGATGAGTTTTGGTAAACTGGAGTACTGAACGGTTGGTAATTTTCTGCTTTGCCATAGAAAAATACCACAGGATGGTCACAAGCAGCAGTTGAAGAAACAGTGATGCTTTGGAAATGATCATTGTAGATGTGCTGTATTCTCATCTGTCTCACCTGCTGTCTGTTCACTCTGCACCTCAGTCTCTATCTTTTTACATTAGCTTTGCTCCACACCAACCTAACAGAGGGTGTATGTTGGAGTGCAATTTGCCTTAAGAGGCATCAAAAAGCACACAAGATGGGTGTGACATGGCTACAGTGGCTCAGAGAGTAAGCAAGAATCCAGCTTTGCACACTGAGTGTCAGGCCTGCAGTCTAATAGTAAATCTCAATAAAGCAAGTATTTGCCTGTATGTCTTAGACTGTGGAATGAGAATAAATACCATTACTCTAAAGACAGAAAAATGAAATTTGCATAATGTCCTATAAGAAATGGTAGCACCAAAGACAGCAGGCTCCTGATTCCTAAATGTGATCTATTAATTCAATCATAATCGCTACTGTTTGGCTTTAAAAGTTTTTTTCTATACTGCAACATCCTCATCCTACGAAATACCAAGAGCCACTTACCAATAAGAAGTCCCTATACATAGCCTACACAAAGAAAGAAAGATACTGAGAACTAGAAAAATCTCCTCTACAGAAATGCATCCATCTTTGGAGGAAAGATGTTATAATTATTTTAGCAGCATACGCTACACAACAGTTTTAATAAAACAAACAAACAAAAATTTATGGATGATCTTTCACAGTAATTGCTAGGTGACTTTTAAGCTGACAGAATTTCTGCCTGACCCAGAAGTGGGTGAGACACAAATGAATAGCCTTGTTCTCTGCAAAAGCAGCATGGCTTTTTAGTGGCCAGCCTGACGAGAAGCTTGGTTTGAAGTGGTGTTTGTCAGACTATTCACTGCAGGGCAGCATGTGTGCAAGCCATGCTCAGGCACTGGGTCAGGACTTTCTGTAGTACTTAGACCAAAGTGTGACATTTGGTGGCGCAGGCAGACCTGTTTAAAATAGTGTAATGCAAAGGGAGACCTACTTAAACCACTCCCTGACACAAATATGTCATCCTTCCCATCCCATGCTGATCCAGTGTGTCTGTGCAGCAAACAGAAGCAAAGGAACCACTAGGCTGAGAAGCAGTGATTTCTTTTGCTGAGTTCCTTTCAGCCTTGTTTGTTCCCACATTCAGTGCTTTGCATGCACAGACAGAAGAGCTTTGAATGAGGCAGGTGGTGGTGACTGTTTGAAGTTACCACTATGACACCAAAATTGGTTTTTAACAATACCCTTAAATCCCACTACCATTCAGGCTGGAATCAATCTACACAGGTCCTCTGAGCCCACCCTAGCCTAATGCCAGGTCCACCTAGAAGATGGCTCCAACTTCCAAGTTAAATTGGGTTAGTCAAGGTCATGTCCAAGCAAGTTTTGAGTATCTCTAAAGACGGAAGTTCCTTAAAAGTTCCCAGGAGATTTTTGCAACTACTGAGTCATTATTTCAGTGGTCTGGGTGATGTGATGGGATAAAAGTTGAGATGATCGAAGATGATAACAAACATTTACCTGTATTTCTAAGAATATTTAAAAATAATGTGATTTTAATATGTGATGTTGTACCTACTGTGATGTACTTTTTCACCCTTTAGCAATTGCTCTTTACTCACCTTTTGTATACCCACAGACTGACGAACATTCAGCTTTCTTATTCTTTGAAAGGTGTCCAAGTCCCACAGTTGAGCTGTATCAGTGGAAGTAGTGATGGCATACTTGCCTGAGCCATGGACAGAGATGGAAGACACAGAAGATTCATGGCCTCTCATCCAACTAACTAGCTCCTGGGTTCCTGCAGAAGTTGATGAAAAAGATATGAAGAGTCATTCAGAGTGGAACAACTACTACTTTAGTCTTTATTGTCAACACTATGCTGTGAGTTTTAAGCATAACTGGTACATAATAATTTACCAACACAGCCCAACACACAAGAAACAAAGGTATCAGTCTTCACATAGGTATTACACCTTAGAGGAACAACATTCTTCTCATCTCCAAATAACATTTTACAAGTTATGCTGAGTTCTGCACGGAAAACCAACTTGCACAGACTTGATTCATTTAGCCTAAATATCAATCTTAAAAAGCCATGAACAATGTGATCCGTTAAGTTCAGCATGCCTCATAGAATATCTGATGTGAACACCCACGGAAGCTGAGACTGAATGTTCTAGTTAGAATTCTGCACTTGTTTTTACTTGTGGACAGAATGTGTGAATGATTACACAACTATTTACAGGTGCAAAATAAAAAGGTTTAATGACAACGGGCTATGACTACAGAAAGGCAGAGTCAGAAAGCAACAGCTCATTAATTCTTTTAGAACCTTAAACAGTTTTATGCTGTGCACTGCATTCTAAGGAAATGGTCCCTCTGACTACAATGTCTCCCACTTGTGACTGCATGACCACTAATCTTCCCTAAGCAACCAAACTGCACTCGTGGCAATTACACTGTTTACATTGGGTGGTTTGCCTGACAGCCCGTGGAGTGGTTCCAGCTACTGCTGTGGCATCAAAGATAGGAAATGGCTATAAAGCAGCTCATAAAGACTAACAGTCAAACTTTCTGCTGTGCTTACAGACAATGGAGTGCTTAAAGCTATCATCACCTGAGAGGTGACATGGGATTAGAGAGTGTCTTCTAAAGAAGGGGGTGGAGTCCATCAGGCAGAACTGTCTAATACCCTACGGAACTGTACCAATTTAGGTGAGTACCATTCATATTTTAGAACATTCTTCAGTATGACTTGATATCTGGAAACAGCACCAGATGAACATGCAGTACTCTCTGGAGTAATAAAGATTTCTCTAAGCACATCCAAACATCTAAGTTTGACCTTGTTGTTGTTGAAAGGAAGAGAAAGAGTGCAGAGGATTTCAGACCTTAACTCTGACTCTTCCTCTATTGTGAGGAACATTGTGCTACATTAAAATCTTCACAGATAATCTCAAGCCCTAAAACTGTAGATGAGTGATTCCTACAACTTTTAAAATATCTTTAAATTCAGATATTTAGATAGAATGGAAACATTACTAATGCATTTTCTGATAGGTGAAGAACAATTTATGAAGAATGAATTGTCACTGCTTTGCACCTTCACCATTTAACTTCTAATCAAAACAGAGACACACAACTGTAATGTTAATTTTTAATATTGCTTTTCAATAAGGATATAGAATTACATGAACACTCAAAAGTATTGACATTTCTTTTAGTGTACATTGTCACTTTGTTCAAATATTTTACTGTAAATATAGTCAAGAATTTGTTCAGTTGCAAACTAACACACTGTCAACTAGTTTTGGCTTTATTTTAATACAGTACCTCATTCTACGTAAACATATAAAAAACTGCTTAAAATAAAAGGTAACATACCTAACTACAATCCTGTGGTGGACTTCAGTTAAACAAATGCCTGTGTGACTCAGTGGGAATAAAGAACTTTGGCAAAGCAAAGGGTTCATTTAGGTTCATTACCCAAGGACTATAACCAACATGGGCCCAAGCTTTTCTTTTTAGACAGATGGCATGGAATACGTAGTATAATTTCCATACAACAAACTATCAAAAAATTTAAGATCAAAACTAAAATAATGTAAGTTTTCATGCCAATACAGATAGCATTTAGGCCTTGAAATTTCTCCTTACCTGCATCAAAGCACTTAACGGAATAATCTGCCAAAGCCACAAGGAACTCTGTCTTTCTGCGAAGATTAAATGCCAAAGCAGTGCAAGCCTGCATTGTTCTCTGAACAAGGTTGAACCTATTTAAAAATACACATTCTCATTGTGTTAGGAAACTCTGGTTGATTTAATGTCAAGTGAAATAATAATTTAATACGTTTCAATATATTTCACAGAGAGAAAAAAATAAACTCAGAAGAAGGGAGTAAGGAAATAACATCCAATTATAACAGATCTAAAAATCAGTGCTAGTATTTTAAAACTCAGCAGTAAAATGCTGAAAGACATTGATGTATTTCTGCAAATGAAAACACTTGGTCTAACCTACTGTAATTCATGGCTCACTCACTGATCTGTACTGGCCCAAGAATAACCTCTGGTGGTAGCACTTAAGTTCTATGGCATTGCTGTTCTTTTACAATTGCAAGCCTCTGATCTTTTTGAGCAGCTAAACTAATAAAATAACATTTAGGGAGCCTACACGAGACAGTGGGTTGAAGTTTCAGCCCTGAGCAAGCAATTACCCATCTAGAACTATCTAGTTAAAACCTGACCTGTGGGATCCTGTCCAGGCAAGCTCCACACCCCTGAATGCCACAGATGCCTCAAACAATTAAAAAGTCTTGATAGAAATATTCTTACCTGTTCCCATTCAAGTCAAAAACATATATATTCCCTTGGCGGTCTCCAGCAAGGAGAGAATCCCCAGAACTGTCAAAAGCCACATTCAGAAAATGTATTGTCTTTGAATGGTACCCTTGGACACTGTGAATGATGTTCACCATAACTCTGTGAAGAAAGCCAGCAAAACAACCACTGCTTAGAATCATTTTATTACCATTTGTATCTGCAAGACATAGGATTAAAATGTTTCTATCTTAGGATTTTACAATTCTGTTTTTCCATGTTCTATGAAAAATCTCCCATGTATTTCTAATATAAAAAATATTCTACAAAGGAAGTAATCCACTGGGTTGGCAGGTGGGTAGGAGACATGTAAAGCACATGGGGGAAATTTACCATTCACAATCTTTTTGTGTGGTTCCTGGTTACCTGATTGCCACTATTAATGAATAACACTAATATATACTGATGTATCTGAAAGCCCAATTCAACACAGCAAGGAACCTGGCTCATCATTACCACTGCAAAAAAAATCCTAGAAAACTGAGAAGCTGTGCATTACTGTAAGAAACCAGTCTGTTTAGATGTGAGGAAAATCAGTTTTAATATAACTTCTTTTCACAGTCTTCAAAAGTATTAGGATTGTTAAGCCTGGAAAAAAGAAGGCTCTGAGGTGACCTAATTGTGGCCTTCCAGTACCTGAAAGGAGCCTACAAGAAAGGTGGAGAGAGACTTTTTACAAAGGCCTGAATGACAGGACAAAGATGAACGGCTTCAAACTGAAAGAGAGTAAGTTTACATTACACATTAGGAAAAAAACCTTTACTGTGAGGGTGGTGAGACAATTAGGCTCCCTAGAGAAGTTCTGGATGCTCCATCCCTGGAAGTGCTCAAGGCCAGGCTGGATGGAGCCCTGAGCAGCCTGCTCCAATGGAAGGTGTCCAGGCCCGTGGCAGGGGGGTTGGAACTGGATGATTTTTGAGGCCCCTTTGCACTCCAAACCATTCTACAATTCTATGAAGAAAGCTGTATTTATTACTATTCATCTGAGCTATTACAGAACTATTATAAAAGTTTCCAGTTTTCCACTTCTATCCTTGTATGGTGCTGTCCATATAAAACAGAGCCAGATGCAGCAATGTGCAGAATCAGCTGTAAGAGGAAGGCTTTTCCAGGAAGGAGGACATGGAGATTTGGAAGATCTGCTATTCCTGGATTTATTGCCTAACACTGAACAAGTGTCATTTTGTATTATCACTTGGATGTGAATGCACAGCTAAACTAAACACCAAAACTGTGCCAGACATTGGCAGGCTGATTAAAGACTGCAGAGCAGTTGCAGAATGCTCTGACCATGGCTATATGAGATGCTGATAGCTCTCTGACACACAGAATATGCTACCCAGCACCTTCATGGGGCTGTGGGGGCTTGTTACAAAGTCTGAGTGAACACAAGAAGGTCATACAGCTATGGTGCAGACTAGAGATAAAACTAATTGCACCTCACTGTTAAGCCCACTCTTTTCTTCAATAAAGGGGCCAGAAAAATGAAATGAGAAAGATAAAATATTTTAAAATGTAACTGAAATCTAGTGATGTTTGTGTGGGATTATGGCATTAAAGACCCTAACAAATGAAGTATGACTTCTGCTTCTAAAACCACCCTGAAACACAAGTACCTATCACTGCAGCTACAGCACCTCCCAAGACCTTTCCAATCTCTGCCTTTCAAAAGTTTCCTGCAACTAAACTAAGCCAGGAGAACAGAGTTAGGAGCTCACGGGGCTGCCCCCAGAGTCCCCCAGAGCAGCATTTGTGACGCTGCTCTCCAGCTTAGCCCAGGCAGTATTTACAGAGCACACCGATTAATTTCCTGGAATTCCCCCTCGGCATTTCAATTCCTAAACCAGGGGAAGTGCCGGGCCACCCGAGCAGGGGGGCTCCAGCCCCCTCGGGACCGGCTCCGCCTTCAGGAGCGCATCCCATCAACACGCGCCTCGGCATTTCAATTCCTAAACCAGGGGAAGTGCCGGGCCACCCGAGCAGCCCCCCCCTGGGGACCGGCTCCGCCCTCAGGAGCGCATCCCATCAACAGCGAAAGAGCCTCCAAGGATCGGTGCCGGACTCTTTTCGGTGCTGCCCAGCGACAGGATGAGGAGCAATGGCCTCAAACTAAAACACGAAAGTTTCGCCTCAACAGGAGGAAGAGCTTCACGTTGAGGATGGCAGGGCACCCAACGGGGAGCTCGTGGCGTGTCCCCCTCTGGAGACATTCCAAGGCGCCTGGCCGCGCTCCTATGTCACCTGCTCCTGCTGACCCTGCCCTGGCAGCGGGCTGGCACGGGATGGTCTCCAGAGGCCGCTTCCAACCGCAGCCATTCTGTGACTGAGGGGAACGCGCTCCTTTCGTTATCTAACCGGGTACCCCCGGGCTGCCCCTTTAACCCCCGGCGGAGGCTCAGGTGGGCCCGGGCCGGCCCTGCCCCGTCCGCCCGCTCCTCTGGGGCAGCCGCTCCCCCCGGCCCGGCCCCGTTACCCCCGCGGTGCGGCCGCCCCCGCCCTGCGGCTCCAGATGGGCCCGCGCCGCCGCTCGCCCACATCGCAGCGCTCCATCCCCGCCCGGCGCCGCCGCTCCCGCGCTGCCCTCAGGGCTCCGCCCACGCTCCGCGCCGGGGGGCGCCGCCCGCGTGGTACAGCCCGCTCCCGCTTTACCAATGCGGAGGAGCGGAAGGGTGGCGAGCGCTCCCCCCCAGATATCGGGGAATGGAACAGCTCCAACTGCGGCCTCGCGGGCTGCTGGGAGTTGTAGTTTCCCTCGCGGGCGTCGCGCGGCCAGCGCCGGGCAATGAAGTAAAAACGAGTGAAAACGTCGCGTCTTCACAGGCAAGTGTGTTTATAACGCAGTGCAATAGGTCACTCAGAACATGGCTTTTGCAGCCTGTCGCAGGCACAGGACTTGCTGCCCGTTCCCTCCTGCTGCCCGCGCCCCTCGGGGAGGGGAACGCTGCCTGACCCCACAGCCCCGCCGCCCAGCAGCGGCGGCTGCTCCCCGCTCCGCCCCCGGGGCGGGACTGCCGGCTGCCGAGGCGGGGCCGGAAGCGGCGCCGGCGGCTCGGCCGAATTCGGTGGCGCCACGTCTGGCTCGGGGTCCCCTCCGTGAGCGGGCGGCGGGAGTGGCTGAGCGCTCGTCTCGTCTCTTCTTCAGTGGCCGGTTCGTGGCGAGGCCTGGGCGGCGGCCAGGCGCGGCGGCAACATGTCGGACCTGGGGGACTGGTTCCGCAGCATCCCGCTGATCACGCGCTACTGGTTCGCCGGCTCCATCGCGGTTCCGCTCGTGGGCAAGCTGGGCCTCGTCAGCCCCGTCAACCTTTTCCTCTGGCCTGACGCCTTCATCCACCGCTTCCAGGTACGGGCCGCACTACCGCTCCCGGCGTGCCCCGCGGCGCCCGCACAGTAGCTCACTGTGACTCGCTGCGCGCACGGCCTTCTGGGAATTGTAGTGCGCGGCAGCGTTGCGGGGCCTCGCTGGGGCTACGCGCGGGGCCGGCCGCTCCCCCGGCTCCGCGGCCGCGCTGGAAGCGCCGTGCACCGAGACCGCGCCCAGGGGAGACCGGGGTGACCGGAGCCCCTCCGGCGGGAGTGGAGCCGCCTTCGCCCTCAGCCTGTACAGGGCCTGCGGGGAGAGCGCCGGGTAAACCCGGGCCCAGCCCGCAGGCCCGAGGGCCCCACCGCGCTGACGGCTGCGCGTCCCTGCCAGGGTGCAGAGGGAGGGCTGTCGGCCCTGGCAGTCCTGTAGTTCGTCTTGTGCCTCAGACTGGTGTGGGTTTTCCTACGTTTTTTGTGGGCGTTGTTGTGGTGGGCACTGGTTGTTGTGCCAAGGAGCTCTGTGGCTGTGGCTACAGGTGACTTGCCCAGCTCTTTGTTTGTCTGTGACTTTAGGAGCTGTAAGTTTGGGCTTGTGGGGTGTGCAAACATCCCAGACTGCAGCTGGCCCGGGAGGTTTTGAGGCAGAGGCATGGAGCTCCTGCGGTGGGTACAGTGAGGGCAACAAAGGTGATCAAGGAACTGGAGCATCTCTGGTGAGGAGTGGCTGAGGGAGCTGGGCCTCTTCAGCCTCCGGGAGAGAGAACTGAGAGGGGACCTCAGCAGTTTCTGTGAGTATCAGAAGGGAGGTGTCAGAAGATGGACAAATGCAAACGGGCAGAAACTGATGCGTGGGAAGTTCCACCTGACCTGGGTGACCATGCACGGGAAGTGACTGACTGGGGAGGCTGTGGAATCGCCCACTCTGGTCCCTTTTAACGTGACATATTCTATGATTCTCTAACAGAGTGCATTTGCACCTTCTGGTTTGGAATTTGAAAACGCTTCTGTTTGGGATTGTTGATTCCTTTGCTTAGATATGGTCCATGTAAACTGACAACTGATGCCTTGAAGTGTCAGACATGCAGTGTTTCTGGGTACAATAGCAATATCAAAAGTGGTCTTAAACTGGACATATTTTTCCTTGCACTGTTATGTGCAAGGTTCAGTGTTGGGGGAGCACTCATTGGAGGAGCTCAAAATGAAGAAAGAGTAGAGATTTCAATTTTTAAATTTCTATTGTATCATCTCATTATATCTTCACTGAAGAAAGAAAAAAAAAAATGAAAGCCTTGACTTGCTCTGTACCTTGATTCATGTATTATTCCTAAAATTTAGTAGCATAAATGACTGTTTTTTCCTCTAGTTCTGTTATTCCTTTTTGAACTGCGATGTTCAGGATCCCAATACTCAGTGTGGAAATGTTGCTGCTTGAAGAGCTCATTCATGAATGACCAGGCATTTTCTGTGCTTGCTACGTGCTGCCATGCAGTTGGCTATGCCCAATATTCATAGCTGGGAGGCTGTCCCAGAGCAGATCCCAAATGCTCAGAGCAGCACGTGCTGTCTGGAATGGTGCACTAAAGGCTGTGGATTCTTTGGCCTCTGTTCAACAGAGAAGAATGGGTTTTGTATGGCTGGTTTTTAAACAGGGTAGCATCCTTGCCAGTGAGTCTCTTTTGAACTGCATTAAAGACTCACTGCTGCAAAGATGTGATGGAAAGCAGTTTGCAAAGTTGTGTGTTATTTCTGGGGTAGTCTCAGTAGCTTTGCTTACCAGATTGAAAGGAAACACCACAACTAGAAAAGCTGCTGAAGCAGGAACAATCGATACTTGCGCTATTTTTAATCTTCTTCTTGATGTTCCAAGTTCTCATTCATTATCAAGTAATGAATGTAAATAAAAAGCCTGTGCTCATGAGTTCATTCTGCAGTTTATAAATACATCTTTCTCTTTTGATCTGGACAGATCTGGCGGCCGATAACGGCGACTTTCTTCTTCCCAGTGGGACCTGGAACGGGATTTCTCTACTTGGTGAATTTGTATTTCTTGTATCAATATTCCTCACGACTAGAAACAGGTATGTTGACCACTAAATTGTATGCTCCTGTTGAACCCTGCCTGAGCTGATAAGAGATGGCTCATCTCTGTGCCAGCTTATGTTGGTCAGCATGAATCTGCTCTGAAAACTGATTTTCTGTGGCTGGCTCCTTCCCTTTGGCCATTTAGGATCTGATACTAGGATCTGATACTAGGTTCTGTAGGAGGGCCTGGTGCTTTTAATTGCTGGATTTAAGGAAGTGAGTGAGACGGATTAAAAGATGATGTTTACTTCTGGTTTTTTGTGCCTGATGTTTTTTTTATCAGAGAAGGATGATAGAGCATGGTATAATAATGGGCTTATCCATTGGGAGAAAATAACATCAGTTTTTTTCTTGTTTTAATAGGGATGCTTATTTGTGTTATTCTGTTGTCTGTGTTGAATTGAGAGGTACCTCCTTCAAAGGAAGTCTTCCTCTCTGCCTAACAGATATGTGGAAATGTTAAGAGACTGAAGGGTTTTCAGTTAAGGGGAAAAATTAAGTGAAAAAAAGGAGATCAGATAATGGCCATTTAGGATCTGATACTAGGATCTGATACTAGGTTCTGTAGGAGGGCCTGGTGCTTTTAATTGCTGGATTTAAGGAAGTGAGTGAGACGGATTAAAAGATGATGTTTACTTCTGGTTTTTTGTACCTGATGTTTTTTTTTATCAGAGAAGGATGATAGAGCATGGTATAATAATGGGCTTATCCATTGGGAGAAAATAACATCAGTTTTTTTCTTGTTTTAATAGGGATGCTTATTTGTGTTATTCTGTTGTCTGTGTTGAATTGAGAGATACCTCCTTCAAAGGAAGTCTTCCTCTCTGCCTAACAGATATGTGGAAATGTTAAGAGACTGAAGGGTTTTCAGTTAAGGGGAAAAATTAAGTGAATAAAAGGAGATCAGATGCTTTCTCTCAAACAAAGGGATTGTTGGTATAAGGTAGCTTCAAAACTGGTTTCCTTTTGCACTGCCCAGTTCATTAAACCTAGGAAAAAAATAGGTTTAATTGACATACATAATTACAATATTTGCAAAGCCAGACCCTCCTGAAAGCCTTTGTGATCAAGAATTTCAGTGTCATTCTAATGGAGTCTTAGAACTGATAATGTAAAGGGGAATGCATTGGAAGGTGATGTTGGGAAGTCCCACGAGAGAGGAGATCCCTGGTAGACCTGCCCTCCAGAGAGCATTGTGGAATCACATTAAGTCTTAAGAAGAGTGGTAGGGAAGGGCAGGAGTGGTGCCAGATTGTGTTTGGTCACTTTCTTAGTGAAAGTTAAATACTGGTTTAATAGCTAGAAATGGTTCCTGCTTGCTTTTGAGCCTTTCTGCAGTAGTTCATGAGTACATGAGAGTGCTCACAGTTCTGACTGGGCAAAGGTAGGTGTAGTAAGAGTTCCTGGCTATGCAAATTAAAAGACTTCACTGCTTGTGAAGCAAAAATGCTCTAGTTGTCTGTGATTCTAGATGTGCTGTGGCACACATCTCAGGAAAGGGAGTAAATTTCTGCTGTACAACAGATCTGGATTTTGAAACTGGGAAGTCATCTGTGTTGTTTGAACCAATGCATTTCTTTTATGTTACAGTCATTTTTCTGGGTATAAATTAAATTCTTGGTTAGGTTGGTCCCTTCTCTGAAAAAAGCCTGTATCCTTCTGTAGTTAGAAGGTAAATAAGTTGCTGATGGTGTTTACAGGTGGAAGTCTGCATTGGTCTGTGCCTCCTGTTGTCTGTGAAACTGAGAAAGTGAAACTTCTATTTTCAGCCTTGTGCATGGTTTTTGAGCATACACTGCTGCTGCCTGCCAGCTTCAGATTTAGCTGTCAGAGACACCTGTATGGTTTTGTGCTGTGCTTGTGCTTTCCTAACAGGCTGACCTATGACTTCCAAAGGAAAGGGAGATTGATGTCATTTTGTTTGGGTTTGGTTGGAGAAGAACATAACAAATATCAGCAGAGTAAGCAGAATATGCAGAGTTCACTCCCCAGCTGTGTGAGTGATGAGATTATGGGTCTGCAGCTCTTCCCAGATGACTGCATTATACCCTGGGCCTCATGGAAGGACCCATGGGGTAGAGCTCACCCCATACCTGTGCTGAGCAGTCTGGCAGTTTCTAGTCCAATTTCCTTAGATGTTCAAGGAAAAGTCAAATGGTTTGTCAAATACCCTCATTAGCAATCTTGTAGATAATGAGAAGTGAAAAAATTTAGAAGAATAATAATAGCTTTGATTTTCCAGTTTTGGATGGATTCCTGAGCTGGCCTTTCTACAGCCTTAGTCAGCTTCTTCTCTTTATTTGTTTTTATTTGTTGTATGGCAACAGTAAGAAAAAACCTTCAGTTTCTGTAGGTTTACAACATTAAAACTTTCTGATATATTTTTCAAAGCATGTTTTTTTCCTGTCATGCAATTTGCATGGCTGACCTTAAACAATAAACTGGTATTCTAGTAATTTTGTTTTACATAGGCTA